AGCAAAGGCTGTCGCCAATGGTATTTCAGGGCCTACAAAGGAGGACATAGTATACTTCAATACTCGTTGCAAGACTCACTTTTCGGACACAATATACGGCAACCGCTTCGATACTCTACTCAAGAGCCGGCGTCATGACCCAGATTGGACGCGTTCCATTCGTGATCCTCTTTATCGCTCCCCTTCTTCCTTACCTGGACAGTATATCCCTGGCACAATTTCCGGTCACTGGCAGGGGTCTTTCATCGTTGAGTTTTCGTACCTGTTCATCCCCCACATGGACTAATATGAATAGGCCCCATATTATAATGTCTACAGGGATATGCTGTCATCTCCCTCTGCTCCGTCACCTTTTCCAACGTTTGGCCGATTCCCTCTTTATGTTACATTCAGAGAGCTTTACTGTTACTCTCCATCAATTCCCCTCCCCTTGAGAGGCAATGAAGGCGTATTTGAAAATGCTTTTTTGCCAATCGGTTGTCGGTGGCATGAAACCGAGGTTAGTCTTGACATTAGTTCCAGCGCAAAGGTTGATATTTTCAACAGGCAGGGATTGAATTTACCGGAGAAAACGCGTCATTCAAGGCCTATTATTCTCCGCCGAGGCAAGAGCACCTCGAAATTGGCTTTGTTGGGGGCACTACCGGCAAGTCGAAGCCAGGTGCGCATGGTGCTTTTGATGTCATCATCACAGGAGTGGTGTGTTCCATAGAATTCTTTCTGTCCCATATCTAATTATTTTAATAGACGGAGGATCGCTACGCAGCTGCTTGGGGTGGCTATCGTTACATAGGACGGATACGACCCTCAGATGGTCTAATAGTTCTGCTCCGTGAACCAGTAAGGAACGCCATGCTGCTGTCTTTTCTACGCTCAAGTGGTATGTAGCTGGACCCTCAGATGGTTGAACTTGGACGAGCCTTATTCAGAGGCTACAGTACGTTAATTCGGTTCAAATAACTGTTGTGTACGCTGACAAGATCGCGTTAGTTATCTCCTCTCGCAACTTTGTGGGTCGCTGGAGATGCGTGTCCGGCGGCGTTCATTCCCCTGAATGGGAGTCAATATTCAGTTTGTGCAAAGACGTGTCATGGGAATAGTTGTCACATTGATATAACCTACTATCTTTGGCCCAGAAATGGCTCAGAGCCTTGCAGCAGCCTCAACACTCGTCCTCTACCCCCACTATATGGTACATAGGTACTTCTTATGCAGAGAATGATGATGCTATTTTTCAAAACCACAGAAATGTGTTCCCCATGGTAATCAGACCCACCTTAATCCCAGATTTTCGTATACATTTATGTAAATAGACCTCAACTTTTTCTGTTGTGAAAAAGTATGTCATGAAAGGTTGGACTTCGAAGACTTCAGATCCGACACTGAGCCACAGGTTGCTTTCGGACTCGCAAGTTCTCTACCGGGTGATTACAACTGGGTTGGAATGACGAAGTGTGAACTCGGAACCAAAGCACGGGGTGAGAAATTTTGCAACTGTGTACTCTTTTGCATGTCTTTTGTATATTCAGTCGACGTCTGGCACTATCGCTTCGCGAATTTTAATTACTCAGTATTCGTATTCTCCCATCTACATATGTAGTTAGATTTTTTAATGGGACATTGCTGAGTTAAATGCAATTGAAGCGACAAGCAGTGAAAAGTTTTGCAATCAAAGATAGTACCTGCCTGTGATTTGCATCCTAAATGTGTATGATACTTATTAGTATAAATACATAGTACTCTCACCACCGAGTCCTTGGGTTAACTTCACCTGCCAAGGAAAGGACTGGTCGGATGCTCCGACGGCGGTCCGGCAGGACAGTATTACTGGTACACACAGTATTTCTTAAGCAATCTACACTCACTACCACGACCAACGTCATGTCCACTCAAGCCGTCGCGTTCGATTGGCTCCCTCAGGAAGTAATGGAGAATATTGCTTTCTTCGCAGCAACCACGACAGATCTAGGGCCTCCCTCCGATCTGCTCCCTTTACTTCTAAGCTGCAGGAGCATATACCGCGCTCTATCATTCGATGCAAACCTACATCTTTGCGCACGCATATTTGAGTATAAATTCGATCTCAGTGCCGCCGTTCGCCGTCTGGGCCAGCAGATCGCCACGCCTGATGTCCTATCGAAGGAGTTGCGCAAGAGATTTGTTTGCCTGAAGCGGATACGGGCGCGGACAGATTCTAAAATACGCGCACCAGATCCTATGTCGAATCCGCCGGTCATTAGCGAGTTGCTTTGGCTCGCCTACCTAATGATGCTTGAAAATGACGGAAACAATGTCAAGCAACTGAGGGAATACGCGGGAATGGAGCAATGGTTGATGGAGTACTGGTTTGATGATGAGGGTACATCGCTCGCCTCGAAGACGCTCTCAGGAGATGAGTGGCCGCTCGATAATGAGCACAATTCTCTAGCAATGTGGTTGTTTTGGTTGTTTCTCAGACCCGGTGCGTCGTATGGGTCATCTCCACCCCTGTACCGCAGTCTAACTCTCGTTTCACAGACCGTTTTCAGCGTACCGAAAGGAACTATCGGACTTTCGCAACCGTTTTCAAACCGACTGCTTTAGCAGCCAACAAGGTATGTCCTTATTTCTACATTCATGCATCTGCTGATAATCCAAGTATAATATATGTCACGCCCCATGGGAGGACTTCGTCCCTAGGTCCTGTCTGCTCGAGCCTACGTGTATAAATCACTATTCTAATTCATATCAACTGACTCCACCGACGATGGCTATTCCTGCAATCCTCACTTACCTCAGCTTGGTGGGTCCCCTTTTAGGTCCAACAAGGGTTGTCTACAAAGGACCACATACACCGAACAGCTTTCCATCCTGTCTGAATCAGAGTCTTGAGTGGGATGCTGATTGGCAGAGGTGCATGAATCTCGCCGAAAATCCTCTCGCCAGCCAATTATCGGGTGCATATAAAGTCGGCAGTTTGCAAGGTGTGTGGGAAGGTGTTTTTACGGTAGGTTGATTCATCGCACGAGCCTGAAACCCTCTGTTAAACAAGCTATCATTAGTACACAGAATTCACTACCTATGCTGCGCTTCTGTCTGGACGCTCCCCTTCGATCCTTCATAATTGTATGGTTGCGCAGCATCGTCAAACATGGAAGCTGCGAGAGTATCACTTAACCGTCTCAAGGGGCGCTGATGGCGTTGCCGACGGCGAAAAATCACCGTCGCTGAGCTCGGGTGATCCGCTCAAGGCATTTTTTCCGTCTGGCATCCGCATCCACGAGCACGTAGGCGGTGCAGAGGTACACGAGCCCGGGAAAATGGTTCCACTTCCTTACAGGCAGCCGTCGGCTTGTGACGAGGAAGTCGAGGGCTTCAAGTGCCCCGAGATTCAAGATATTATTGTTGTAGGAGAGGTCAATAATGGTTTACTTATCTTAAACTGTTCTCATTTTTTGTCCAGGGTCATTCTGCTTGGGGTCAATTCAATGTCATTGGTAGGGTACGACCTTGCGACGGTTTTGTCAGTCTTTTGAAGGAATATGTACGTCTACTGAATTCATACAATGTGTCGTGCATGAACTCCTCCTTTTATTAGGTCGAAGGCGATCGAGGACTATGGCTTTACCGAGGCTATCTGGTTGGTAGCATCAACGGGAGCCTCGCTGGGCGCTGGCGAGACACGCTCAGTCTCCCCGGTGCCAACGGTTATGAGGGCTGTTTCGTGATGAGTAGGCGGAGATGACGGAATTATATACTGATTTCTAGATATTAATTCAGTTCACCGACATCCTTATTTTCATCAAAGTTTGAGCGAAATCAGAGCGTGTGCACCTCGCCTGAGCTAGTCTTAGAACAAAGTTTCCCGGTCTGTGCAGAATTAGTCCGACTGCCGAGTGACAGAACAAAAATCTTGGGTGAAATTGCAGAAGGGAGTCTGATTAATTATTAATGGACGAGCAGGTAAAATATGGTGTATGCACTGCAGATGGTGCCTATAGCATTAGTAAAATAGGTCCTAAAGTAGAGAGGTTGAAGGCTGCGGCAGATTATCCAGGCAAGTGGTTTAAGGTCTAAGGCCGTATGGGAATGATGGTATTACTGGTGGATGTCTTATCAAAGGCCATATGTCAACGTGCATTCAGTTATCAAGAATTCATACTCACTGATTAGATCTAAGACTTGGGTGGTAGTATGCTACACAGAATGTTAGACAATGCTGGCGAGATTAGGAGCCTGAAATAGAGTAAGAATAAATGAGATAAATTAAAACATCACACATATGACGAGTTGTGTGTTCCTGGTGATATCGTAGAACGAGTTTGAGATGTCAGCTATCGTGCGGGGTCGAGCGTAGATCATCCTCGCCAGAGAAATCTGTGCCGGGTAATTGTCAGCTGCGACGATGAAGTGCCCTCACTTGCAGAAGGTGACTGCGTGAATAAATATCAGAAGTACAAGATTGCCAGGGAAGACGTACTCAGCGGCCAAGACATTTGGAGCAAGGCAAACTAGATTTGGCATCCTCCGATACTCGAGGGGATGGACAAGGTCGTCCACTCATGCCCCTAGAGCAAGGCTCGAGTACGTAGAATCGTACCTCGTGAAGTGTACAGAAATAGGCTTGAGAGACACACATCGTTAATATTTTTCGAGGGGTAATGAAGTGCATTTTGTCAACTCACTGCGCACTTTAAAGCAGAGGCCATGTTGGCGGAGCAACGACGAATTAAGGTAATTATCTGTTCGGGGGAAGATGTAAAACAGTGATATTTGGACTCACCAGGGCAGTGAAGTTAAACAACAGGCTTCGGTGGCGTCGGCTGAATCCCCGTCAGGATTCCAAGGATAGGGAAAACAAGACATTCAACTACCATAATCTTGGCCAGGCTTATATACAGGTTGTGCTGGATTGCGTCAATCCAATAGGATAGATCGATTTCATGAGCAAAGTCAACCACAGACGGTTGAAACGGTCCCGATCTCACCTGAAAGTATTGAAGATCGTCACCGAACGGATATATCAAGTACTGCCACGTGCTTCATCTACCATCCATTCTGGGAAACTCTAGTAATAGTATTGACCATCATATCGATGAAACACAGCAAGAAAGAACGTGTTTTGATCTCTCAAAGTCAGCGGCATGGAGTGTGCAAGGGTAGGTCCAGCTCCTGCGCCACAATTCTTGCAGAACTGACTCATGCCTGTAGAAGGATCTCACCATCCACAAACTCAGACGGACAACCGATTTCGAAAATCTCACTTTCCGAATAGGCGGCTATACTGACCCTGACCAAGGGCGCTTCTATCATCTGTGGAAGAATGGCGAAGTCCTATCTATTCAAGCAGAACCATACCGCCGTCCTGGCATCGACTATTCTCAAACATCCTTGTCGACTCGGCCCTTCTTATGTGACAGAGAGGCCTTTTTGTACCTACAAGAAGTGCTGCAGACGATGCTCGATAATCTGCAGTTCGGTACAGAGAATAATTGGGCACATCTTGTAAAACAAAAGGTGAGAGTAACTGAAATCATCCTCTATTCGTTATTCACAAACGATTACCCAGGACAATACCTACAGCCTGATCTACACTAGAAAGGAGTTTGTTCGTTTGAAATGCCCGGTTTGGACGAAGAAGGTAAATTTGGATGATATACAAGTCACTCGCATCGTGGACTGCGCGTTATGGGAGGGAATACACGAAGGTTATGTCGTGTAATGTCCTCTTGACCATGATTCTCATACCTCCTCCCACAGGAATGGAAGTCGACCTCTTTATGGGCGTACACGCACTTTGGTCACATTTTGTTGCTTCAGAGAGTCTTGGCCACAAGCTCATGAATGAGGCTGGTGTCAGTCATTACACCTTCAAGTTACTTGCCCATGTCTACAAAAGTAGAATGGTCATCGGTGTCATGTGTGAACCTATTATTGGACGTAAGCTGAGGTTATACGCAATACGGTTGTTCGTGCTCATACCATACAGGTCGTGTGTGTCCTACCGACCGTGCTGCTGTTTTCGCAGCAGTAGCTGATATCCAGAGACACGGAATTCTATTGGGATCTCTCCTCCCTCACGACATCCTCATTACTCCCGAAGGCGTTCGCTTTCTGAATATCTCCGCTGTTCGATTTTACAAGGATCACGACCAACTAGCAGCCAAGGCTGAGACATCTCACTGGGCTGAATTGGCGAAGACCTTTGGATCAGGAATGATAGCTACCCCACACCCCACTTGGCTCTAGAGCCCGTGACGCCTTATCCTACGTTATACCTCGCCTGCCTTCACCTGGGCGTCCAGTTTACACTACTCCTGAGCTGGCCGTGATGCAGTTTGTTTGGTCGGTGATGACATCACCGACAGAGTTCGCTCGTTCAGATATTCTGCCACTGCTCAAGTTCAGAGAGCAGCTGCGGAAAGGGAAAACCGCCATCACTGATGATCCAAGGCACAGAAGATGTACAAAGATTGGTCGCAAAATACTCATCGCACCTCTTGATTGTTCGGAATCGGAGGGTCGCTTTGAAACACTTGACCAGATCGTCACTGCTGCCGATGAACCCTACAAACCAAAGTGGCGTTCTTCACCACGCACCCCGTATGAGCGCCCGAACAAGAAGCTCCTTCTCCCAAAGGATGGGGATGATGAATGATCCATGAGTCACAACTCACAGAACACATGTCGGTTGATCAATTCACGCTCTATCTGGGACGGTCTAGATCCACACATCACATTTGCAGTGTGATTCACCTTAATATTTGATCTCGAGGAAATTATTTAATCCGTCCATGCTTTGTTGCTTTCTAAGCAGCTCTGGAATCTTTGTTGTCAATAGTGTTGCTATGTCAGGCCACCTTTTCTTTGCTTTTTGTTCGCATGCTAGTACTTTGCAGTATCGTGGAATAAAGTGTTGATAAAACTACTAGTCGTGTCAGTGATGTCGTGAAGTAGCAGGCACTGGGGAGACGCTCTTATGTATATGCGAAGTTCTATCTGCCTTAAATGTAATGTACAACTTGTTCCTATTTAAAATGCAACTTTACCACGAGATGTCTAGGTGGTTGTTCTATTATTCCACCCCCACGATACGGTCCAGCTTGGTATGAACATTCGTCTTCAGGACTCAATCAATCTGACTCGTTATCGAACACGATCAATATCCACGCTATGTACCAGTAAGTACTGACAGGTACCCTTGCAAGCCCAGTGAGATCGCTCGACGTGAGGCTGACGACGTTTTGAAAATTTGACGATGCCCCAGTTTACGTAACTTGTCAGGTTTCGAAGATGATAACCACCACAGCAATCGACACCAGGATGCAGCTGTGCCCTAGAAAGAGGTCGCATTTTTAATCGATCCTGTCAGAGTGTACCTAACTGCAGTGGCGCAATATTGCCTCCCAAATTCATACGTCCCTACATTTGTCCGACAATCATTGAAGGAAAATCAAATATGGATCCGGGTGTTTATCTATAAAACAGCTTGAGACCAAACAGGGTGGCAAGGAAGTTGACAACCAGCAGCGCTCTTCGCTAAGGAGTGTAGGCTGTGTCATACAAGATGTCGCAAAAATTAACATCCGATGTGCTGGCCAGCTTCAGGCAACTTGGCGGGTATCGGCAGTGCGGTGGCATGGCGATAGCATGATAGGTACGAACCCAGGGAGTAACTGTTTCAAATGACCGCGGTGCCCGCCAACCAACCTGGGCGGGTCAATTGAATCAAACTGTGAAGTGAGCTTCAGAGGTCATAACCCGTGCCAGAAAGCCAGATATAGAAGGCGGTTGTTTGGCTGTACCTTTAGACTCAAACAAACACCCCGATTGCCTTTCTAACCGTAACAACGATTGACGACGCGTCACGATCACGAGCCACTGGATTTTGACTGGACTTAGCAGAAGTTGCCTGTTCACTTTGTGGATACCTTTTTTCATACTGCGCCAAACTATTATGTCCGAGTCTGTATTCTCCGAGTCGTGTTATCTACAGGACGCCAACTAATGAGATCCACAGTGAATATGGCAGTGTCACAGATACTATTACCCCAACGTGTACCACGGTAAAGCGCACTCCATCACGCGCTAGTGTTTCGAGCACATACTCAACCCGGAAGCGAAGGCGGGTTTCCGTGGCCTCGCTTGACTTGGGACAAGATTTGGCAAGACCATTAGTACCGGAGACTCCAGTCGAGGAGATAAACGTAAGAACTTCGCTTAGCCAACATAGCATGCTACACAGAGGTGATTTAGGGGGATCGATTTGTGACAGTCCGAACTTCAACATCATTGCCATTGAATATTACACCGAGAACAAATCGTATCGCCAAAGCGTTTGGTCTAGTTGACGACCGTGTATTAAGTCCTACCGACTCTCCCTCACTCTTTTCAGACCGGTGTTTTCGTTCATTGCTTCGCCGAAGTGCCTCCGAATTGTTTTCAACTTCACGGGCTGCATCTCTGCTCTCAGCAAAGGCCAATTTAGGGGCTCGGAACCATTTTGTACTAGCCCTCGATGGACCTGGGATGTCTACGGATCTTTTCGCCTCTCCAATGGCATGGTCACATACCAACTGCATCGGAGTCGCTTTCAAATATGATGTGTATTTTCAGAACCTTGAATCTCGTGCAGTAGTTCACTTGTGTCGTTCCTCGCTTTCAGACGGGACGGTCCACAGTATCGATTGGAGTGGAAAAGCCAAACCTTATCTCCTCGCGCTTGGGACGACAGTTGGTGATGTCAGAGTTATAGATGCAGAGAAAAGGATGCAGCTTGTAGGCTGGGTCGATGGTGGACATGGAATGGGAGGCATGCACTGGAATGGCGATGTCCTTGCTGTTGGCAGGACCGGCGGCAATGTGACCCTGTTCGATATCCGGATGCAGGCTGAGATAGCCAGGATTATGGGCCATAAACGCCGAGTACACGGTGTGAAATGGTCAGTTGACGGACGCCATCTGGCCACAGGAGATGACAGTGGTATTGTCCACATATGGGACCATAGAGCAAGTGATCTTCTTACGACTGGCGACAAAAATATCCGCATGAAGCACAAGGGTCCGGTCAAGGTATGTAGCATGATGATATTACCCTTCCGCGGCAATTATCTGTTTTTTGTTTTTGTTTTTCAAGGCCTTATCATGGAGTCCGTGGCAACATGGCTTGCTGGCAACTGGAGGAGGTTCCCCTGACGGTGAAATACACATTTGGAATACCGGAAAGTTGGTGCCATCTCCTGCCCCCATGCATACCATCTCCTTACAGACAACCATCACATCTTTGCACTGGTCCCACCACTGCAAGGAGCTGTTGAGCACTCACGGATCTTCATGGGCTGTACCCCAAACAAACGTACACCCGGTGGCCAATCCATCAGCCGTAGGTGCAGAAAACTCACTCGCCGTTCATTCTTACCCTTCCTGCCAACGAATTGTTAACATCAAAGCACACTCCGCTCCTGTGGGCCATTCTTGTATGGCCCCCGACGGATGTTCTGTATTTACTGTCAGTCCCAAGGAGGAGACCATTAAGATGTTTAGGGTCTGGTCCGCGCCCGATGACAAGGAAAAAAATGAAGGCAGTGACATGACCTTGAGGTCTACCATACGATAAGCATCGTACGATGTATGTACCACTACTACTGAGACCTACGTACTTATTCATTCACAGCACGCCGCCCACATGCTTCTATATTATTGCACGTATACCAGTGTTAATGATTTCCTACTGACTTCCTAAATCTGCATACATACTTATTTGGATACCTTGGACTCACCTGACTGGTGTCTTCATGTCATTATTAGCGCCCTTATGCTCTGTCCCTGCTCGGGCTGTCCATATGGTTCACCCTAGTACGTATGACGGACGTGGTAAGCGTGTCCTGAATTAAAGTGTTCTTCTACAACAAATTTTTTCGAACGGACGTTATCTGGCGATCGCTCCACAGGATAAACTCAAGGCATGTTGTCAATCTGTTGGGGAATGAAAGCCGTTACGATTTTATGGGCTAAGTCTGACCAATGTCGATGCCTCAATCTTCCAGAGCGGATTAAGCGGTAATGTGAGACGAGAAAACCTGATCCAGATAATGAGACGAGCTGTGGTTCTCTACATACCTGCCAATGTCGGTCTTACATGTATATCGATTTTTCAGAGTCTACATACTAGAGGATATTTATTATTATTAGATTGCTTTGCTTATACAGCCACTGTCCCGGTAGTCACATGACGTCGGTTGGTGAACCGCATCTCATGTATCTTGAGGAGAGAGGATCTGGATTCCTCAATGCTGTCCATAGTGGGAGCTTAATTACAACTGAATAATACTCATTCATTCACTTCTTCCCATTGCCTCCCGCCTGTCTCATCAAGGAGTTGGCTCTGTTTTCATATGGCACCTAGTATCGTAGCACCTGGAGGTCAGCCACACAGTCAGCTCTCATGTTTCCAAGCGCTAATCTCACAGTTCTACTTCTTCAAACAGAACCTCACGAAGGCAATAAGCCACAGCCGTTGGGAAATTTTGGCCTGATATTCATCTTCACCACTTGCACGTTGTGCTTGCTTTACTTATTCTGGCGTCGCGCAAGTGCCCTGCGTGCAGTAGTATCCCACCAGTGCGATCATTATGTTCGTGCCACATAATTCGAACTTATACAGGCACAGACTACAAACGTGGACGAGGACGGAAGGCCAAATCCGCCTCTCCGAGGACGACGGCCCATCTGCTACCGAGTTCCTGACGGATGCGGATGATGAAGATGTCGGGATAATAGATGATGGTATGATCCTGGGTCAGGACGAAGAGCGACTCAGGAATGAGGGGTCTGTCACCCTACCTTTTGTCAGGCCTGACTCCCCATTATAAAACGCATATTTTATCACCTGTTTTGCCATGGCCTGTCGCTTTGTTTTATCCTTGGGGACGGTATGCTCTATTTCACACTGGATTATCTGGCCTTGTCTATCGTCTCAGTATCTCGTTGGTCCAACTTCAACACCATGCCCCGATGTCTAGATTCCATCATGATCACGAGAAAGCTAGCGGTCCTTATTTTACTATTGGCTTGATAAGCTCCATATGTTGACACAGTGAACATACAGATTTCTGGAAAGAGAGTCTCTTGAATGGTCAATCTCGTCATGCGCACGTACCTCGATACTGTCATGAGAACATGTGCATAGCACTTGCTTCTTACTTCTTCGTATCTCAGGACGGCATGCTGGATGTTTCAAGCTATTCCAGGACCTGCCGCCTTCATAAATGGCGCCCATACTCTTTGACTCTTCCCCTGCATTCCTATCCTTCTTTCAGTCACAAATGGTGCAGCCGCGACTCCCGGACGATTGACTTGGCGTGTACTTTCTGCCGCCGACTTTGCGGCGGATGTCAAAAGGGTAACCTGGGTATAAGACCCGGTACGTCCACGCCCAGTGTTTGCTATGTTTTGTGGCTAACGCAAATATTTAGAGCAGTACTTTTGCTGATGATGATACCCTGACTCGGTCCTTTGCACTAGTACCACGTTCATATACATGTCATTGTTATGGGCACGAAGTGAGTCATCTCATGGAGTCATGCATAGATGCCCACAGTTCTCATTTTCAAGTCACAGGGAACCTTCCATGCGATCTACTCCAGTCCAGGTTTACCAAGGTGCTTAGAATACAGCCCCGAACCCTTAATTCAGAGTTAAACGGGACGTCCTTGGTTCAAGTCTTCGGGACTGCAGTGTTTGAAAACGATATATCTATAACTTTCAAGTCATTGGCGCCAAACATGGTCAGCTGTTTGAAACTATATACACCGTTAAAATGGGCTCGCCGTCAGTTACTAATGATGCGTTCTTGCAGGAAGTCATCGACAGATCCTACCGAACACTTTCGTGCATCCTCAGTTCTGGTGCCCACGTCGGTCCCTGAATATCAAGTAAGTCACCGTGAGGTACTCGTGTACTATGAAGCTTGGTTTGCAAGTTTCGGATGACCTCGCGTTGCCGCGAATGGATGACGAGTGAGTCGGTATTGCATTGCAAAATCTTAGGTTACCAATATGTTTGCTGAAAGTTAACGTTCTAGCTGAGGAAATGTTCAGCATTACCCAACGAACACGATAGAATGGTGGAGCGGGCGTTTACTACCGCGTAGGCTTGTTGTAAAAATCTACTATTCAGCATTAATCTGATACTTTCGCAGTATGACTATATTATATATGTCCTTTCCACTATCCCTGCTGGACGTTCTCGACTTCCATGTACATCAGGTTCCAGGTTCACAGTAAAGTTTTTGCTTCCACTGACCACACTCCCACTCTTAAATCGACAATTCTGTGATATTGCATACGTATGGTGGTCATTTACCGCACCCCTCTGCAGATCTACGGCCGAATTCAATCGTGATACCGTATCTGGGTCCTCATTTTCGGTGAATTGAAGTCTTATGGGATGTAGACTGAACAAAGCATCAGCCATGGTAAATGCAAGCACCTGGATACCCAGTAACCTCAATCACCTTGCATTTAACTAAGCATAGCCAGTTTCAAGCACCCCTCGGGAGGCCTGGTGATGACATGAATGACCGTGCCCTGTCAAAGAGTCATTGTGCACAGTACAGTTGCCCAAATAACATCGACTACTATGTGTCCTTCCAGAACTGTTACGTGTGCCTTCAAGTTGGTCTTAGCGGCACAATTGCGTTCACTTTTATTGGAATTCTACCCCGAAGCGAGGTACGAGTGTAGGGTTAGAATAAGGACTTCGTGCAGCGGCTGTGCATGTGGATTCTCTTCTCCACCTACTACACAGCGCCCAGGCTCCATCAAGCCCTGACGCCCTGTCTCCAGCCTGCTGCCATTTTGGATTTTCTTTCTCTACCCACTACTCCCTTTCCTGTGCAGTGCGCAGCCTACATTACAATTTCTACTATATTTGTACTCGGCCACTTAGCTACATAGTCACATCCCTACCAGTCTACTACCGGGGCCCGGGTGGCTGCAACGACCTGCTCAGTGCTGGGTCTCGCTCATGTCAAATTTGGACAGGTCGGGGCCGGCCGGGTTTGCCCCTTTCCACCCGAAAAAAACTATCTACAATCAAGCAAACATTTTCTTTCTCACCACTTACACAACTACACAAGAGTGCCCACAGTGTTTATCAGACTTGTCAACTGGCTGGACATTTCCATGACAAATGGTTCACGAACTGGCCGGAGACGCACATCTTTGCCAGTAATCAAAACTACAATTAAGGAAACGGCACCGTAACTTTGTCGCAACTGTCAATTTCGATCGGTGTCACATGTACATGGCCCACAAGACAAACGTGTTGGAATTTTTGTTGGAAATCGCGCGGTGCCTACGACTTGGTTCCCTGGCTAGGCTGCGGGCTGCGGTGGAACCGATAACATATAGGTGCCTCATTTACGGGTAGACGGTGTGTCGGTTGAAGATGTGAGTTCTGCAGCACCTTGACTGCTGCGTGTTCGTATATCAATTGTTGACTTCTAGGAACGCATCAATGCGTCAATGCTGGGGCTACTCGACCTTCGTGGCTACAGTTGGATACCGGAATTGCGCTTCTCCCGGGGCTCGGAGGAGGTGGACTGAACTTGGTGAATGGCGGGTGAACGCATATTTCCAGTTGCGCACAGTGGACTCATCTCCATCTGTGTAAGTAGTATATCTGTGCTTCCTATAACTCTCAATACCTGATTATGACTACAATATACATCCCATTAGACGTCGGAAGACAACTTCCGAGTCGAGCACGTTGCGCCTCCGGAGGGCATGCAGTGTAATTTTAGGAATCATGATCCATTGGCAGAACGGGTTTCCCAAATTACCTGCATTCCCTTATAAGGTGCGTTGACTGGAATCACATCGGACGACAATATTAATAGAGGAACTCATTGAGTCATAGTTGAGTTCTGACGGCCGATTCGGGCGTGTATTTCGCTTTTGATGTTGCGCTGGAAATCGTATGTGATTTGTTTGAGCGACAGCAATTCAGCAAGTCAAGACACCCCTCGGAAAACTTGTTCTTTTGTCTAAGGTCTGCGTAGGGAGACTAGACGATGACTGGAAGCAACGATTCGGTAGGCGCTAGCCAGCCTGCAGTAGAGATACAAGTCAGCATTGTTCGACGCCGGCCAAGCGCACCCTTTGGCCAACGAGATATACCGTAGTCTGGAGTGAGTTGATTTCTACAACCATCGATGCAAGCAAGAGTTCTAATATCTACACACTCCAGCTGTAACCTGCCAGGCAACTCGAGGTGAATCGAGTACCTCACCCTGTTTGATGTCATCCTTGAAGCTTGATGACCCAAGCCTACACGACCTCCGCTATAACCATGCCACGTATACGCTACGTACATCACTTGAGTACTTACTCATCCATCTTTTAGGTTTGCTAGGCGCGTCCACTTTCTTGAGGTTCGCAGCCCCACTCAGGGCCGGTATAGTAGCAATTATTTCCCCTCCTCTCGGAGTTTTACCATATGGATATCTCAAGTTGAAAAGATGATGGCCTGTAGGCTGTCGGTGGCGCGGTACCATCATTATGTGCCTGTGTTACTGTAAGTAACTAGGTATCTAAGATTTGTTGTGGCAAAGTTTTGGCGGAGGCCGCCGCAGCTAGCATTTTGAATGCAGCTGTGCATGTGATTCCTTCAGCATCGATAATTATACACCTCCATGTTCAACACGGTTCTGCGGGCGCAGCTTTTCGGTTGACAGGGCTCCTCTTGAGAGAGGCCTCCTTGTATGCATGACTGTTTACGTGACCCGTATTTGTTGCTGTAGCCGCAGTGCCGACGGAGTATGAAGTAATCAATGTCATAATAACTGTACGTACATAGCTAGCTGGCAAGATATTCAAGACCTTCAACTTCCTACTGATCCTTAATGGTCCTTTGAGTGTTCCGGGTTCGCCCTTGTTCCTAAACGACAATCATGTTCTCCAGTTTCTCGTCCTTCCTAATATCTGTTCAACAACCGAGCCAGGAGCAACGCTCACACCAGTCGCTTTCAACTCCAAACAGTGACACTCCAGAGCCAGATGCTAATTTTCAGCCACCGGACTACACTGCTAGTGATTTCAAGTCGAAGAAAAAAGACAAGAGGGAGAAACTCGTAAATGAGGTGCGTCTCATACTGTCGAATTTGAAAGGCTCAACAACTTGTATATATCATTTAGACTTTCATTGTTGTACGACCTCCACCGAGTAAATCAAATCACCCGCTCAATCTCCAGGTTCAACTTGTACCCCCGCAATCTCGTCATGATCGACCCCATGCGACCGTCCAGGCCCTTGACCATTCAGCTCCAGATGCAGCTGACACCACCGCTGATTCCATTGATCTTCGAAGAACGCCTTCCGGCCAGTCAGAGTCGTCTGCGTTTTCAGCTTACACATCTGCATCCTCTATATCCTCATTTGCTTCGTCGTCAACTACGAGTTCGGGGCGTCGCATGATTATTCCGCTTTACAATCTTCAAGCTCACAATGTCATGACCAATGTCATAGTGGATGCTGGCACTGATGCCAAAGTGGCTAAATTCGCCAAGAGAGGTTTGGAAATTCTTGGTCTGGCCGTCCTCGAACCTATCGAAGTTTGGGGCGCTGTTCCGTTGCTAGGTGCTTTACCACCAAGTGGCAGCGCGCGCACTAGCGTTGATGATTCCAAACGAGAACTAGGCTTGTTCCCTATGCCACGCCCTCACTCTTCGAGCAGTAGGGCTGTTACACCCGAAGTTTTCGCCGCTGCCCTTTCGCCCTCGTCACACACGGATATCCCTCGTAAACCCAGCTTTACCCTTACCCCCGCTATCCTGGAAGATACTATAATTAGCAACGCACAGCCCCAGCGCGGAGGCGCTAAAAAGCTGTTTACTAAGATGTTCAAGAAAAAAGACACGCCTTCACGAACGCTCCCATTAGTGGTGCCGATAGCTCCTACCGATTTGCAGGGTTTACCAAGCATAACCCGCCTGTCGTCTCGCGGATCGCATGACATACCCCCGTCGAGTCCTCAAGGTGTGGATGCACCTCGTTTTAATGATAACCTCCCACCCACCTCGTTGTCAGGAATTTCGTCTACTGTCACACTCTGTCCTCCTGTCCTCGGTATCCAAGCTTCCCTTTATCCGTCAATATCTCCACTCAAGGGCCGACCCACCAAGTATGTTTGGGTTGTCCGCAAATGGTTGAAGGGCACAGACACAGGCCTCTTGAACGGGATGATGGGCAGGTTGGGTGCAAATGGGCGCGGGGATCTCTCTGAAGCCAGTGCTCCGCAGGTGGAGGTGCGTTTTGAGTGGTCACGAGGACTGAAAAAGAAGAAGGGGCGGGGTAGGAAGTCCCGTACTGATAGGAGATCGCCGGCGCAAGGCCCCGAGAGTGGGAGCGTCAGCCGCCGCGGAAGCGCGGTTGTGACATCCGAACCGCTATTGGCGAGGTCGGTTCACAAATCCCCATCTCGTTTGTGTAACCCTCCATCTGGTCTCCATGCTTCATCAATAAGCCATAGTCAGTCAAGGTCCTCGCACCACAGTACAAGCTCGGATGGTAGCATTAGCACTGGAAGTAGCGCTTGCAGCGTGGACAATTCTGGTGATGACAGTGAAGCCGAGGATTCGGAGACGCCTTGGACGTGTACTCTCATGGTACAACGCACAGGTCATTCGCCACCAATGCACAGTTCCGCAGAGCAGCAAGACCATACCGTCCGACTGAAAGTTGCCACACTTGCACCTACCCCACACCATCCCAAAGTCGTCGGACTCCTGAAAGTCCCCTTTCCGTTGCCAGACATAGAAGTTGAGCGCCTTGCGGTGCACCGTCGTGTAGTTACTGCGCAGGGCGTTATCCGAACTGCCTCTAATTCGGGCGAGTTGACGCTTACCGCTGAGGAGATCAAGGATTCGATTTCATCCACCGCTTTATGGCTTGTTGTACGAGAGGCATTCGGGGGCGTTGGCCGAGAGCGCAGAAAGGGCGATGGGTGGCGAATCAGAGCCTGATTGCTCCCAGTGCAGAATAATGTCCGAGACATCTCTGCTCCGACACCGAGCCATTCCTACCTTATCTATCTCGCAATATATCCGCCCCCCTCACAAGGCATGAATCTATCTTCCTGGTTTTTTTCGCTTCGCAAGTGGTTAGTGGGTACATTGCGTTAATCTATTTATTGAACGCCCCTTTGCTCCTTGGTCGCGTTTAACTCATCCTCATCTTCACCTATCATCTTTTCGCCATTGATATGATACACTGAAGTCATTGCGGTTTTGTACAAACTAACGATCTGATTATATTATCCGATATGTACTCAGCACTGTACCTGATCACAATTATACATCTCGTTACTACTTCATGAATCGTATGCAGGCAAGTCATTATTGGCCGCGTGATATTCTAATCATTGAAAAAATTTGATCTCCAACAATAGAATACTGGCAACAACAGAACACCCACGACTCACGAGATGATCTGAAATGATGCGTTCTAACGGATACGCGATCCCCTCGGCGGCTGAGGCGAGCAAAAGTGCATGCATGATCTTGAGACTCATTAAATCAGCGTTCCCATCTTCGAACCTCTTCAAACTGACCCTCTGAGATGTGGATTCTGAGAAGATAAATAAATCTTTTCCGCTCTAAACGGGCGAACTATGTTCCGCAGTAAACAGCGCTTATGAAAGTCGTACTGCGGGAGGTTGTGAAAAAAAAAACGCTTTCTGTGTCGTCCACTAGGGCTGCACCCTATAGACTATTACATGCAATGAGTATGTTGTCTGGAGCATGCATTAGGCCAGTCCCGCGGCAAGCACTTCATACGCATGCCCCGCACATTACAAAGGCGGACGATCTCGTCGTCGATGTGTTTATCAGATTGTCGCGTGGATCAGATGAATTACGATTATACCGCGGGCCAGCGGGGCCGAAATCATTGCCAGCGGCTTCAAGGCAACAAAGGCATGAGGATTGGCTTTTTTATTGGTTCGCATACATCGATAGACCATCGGAACAGATCGAGACAAGCACGCAATTACCGTTGTATGGGAAGTGGTCAGGAAGTAAGCGCTGGGTGCACCCTGCTTTGCGGAGAATCGGACTCGGGCTACTAGGGGGAGTCAAGGTGGGCTAGTCCGCCACGGTGGGTTATATTTATCGGTGAAAAAATTCCTGAAGCCAGCTTGAGTAATGATGCGCTACCTCCAACGCTGGCAGGCGCTGGCCTTTAATAGCCTATAATGAGATCGCAACATGGTTTTAGCTTGGTTACAACAAACGATAGCGAAATACCGGGCTATACCAGGCTATACCCTCAGGAGGACTGTGTCGTAGCTAACCCTGATAGATTCTGCCCCGTGATGGCGGAGTTTGCAGTTCATCAAGATATTGGCCATCGGCACATCAGAAATGCATCAAGAGTAGCACCATTCATTTCCCCGCACTTTTTGGGTTGCACGTGGACTTCTTGAAGCCCGATCCCCCTACCGTTCTGGTTTCAGGTACAGATAGGCCTTTCAAATCTTGGCTGTCCCTGCTTTTTCAGTCATGGAAACGCTGTAGTTCATGACCACCCCACCACATATTACCACAACCCCTGACAGCCGCACCAATGCCTCCGTAATTGGCATCTCCTAGAAGAGGAAATACTTAATGGTCATATACGTGTTGTCTTGTGATGAAAACGCTTGCCAGAGAGATCTTGGTTCTATTTGTATCTTGATTACAGCTAAGCTAATCGAAATACGTGTATGCGGCGTAGAATTACCACTTACACTTACAGGTCCTCTGTTACTTTGCTGAGTTTGGACGAGGAAACTTGTGACTTCATTTATCCAAGAGACACGTCGATGTTGGACTCACTATGCGGTATACTGGTCCAGTCATCGCGTCGGATCAAATTCCAGCGCGATGAAATCTTCTGCGGAATTTGATACCATCGATCGGTGTGGGCGCAGACAAGTGTCCATAACACCAGCTATTGATGACCGAGTAGACACCATTAACGCCCAATGTCTTGAAATTCAATAACGCGCTACTTAGAGAAATTTCATCACCGAAAACTCCTTTTGAAATGGAAACGACTCGACACCGGAGTTTCAGAAAACACTGTGCAACAGCCAGGCCTGGTGTCGGGGATAACGGTCTATGAACACTCACAGTCTCAAGTTTCGCGATTAGTAGCCTGGATCGTGTCAGCCGGGGCCGGGAAATATCAATCAAGTAACGTGTTTGCTGCAGAAGAAAAGCTGATGTCAGCAAGGTGACTAAGCGTGGCATGACCGAGTCTCCAACTTGAATTGACAAATTCAAAAGAGACGATCTTAGATCGTGTTCACATTGAATGGATTCCCTTCGAACGGTATTCGACGGACTCGGCAGTTTCTTTAATATCGGGTATAGATACACCACAACTTGGACCCTCTCCGTGGCCTGCAGGGATTTGGCGTGCCAGTGGAAAGCACCCTCGGCTTTTCTGGCTTGATCGGTTTGATAAGAAGCCTACCTCCGGTTCATGGCCTTTCGCCACTTGGTCCATTACCATTTGATTGGTTAATTGAAGCTTCGTAGAAACAGCCTGGAATCAGGACACATGTACGTCTTCTTGATCGTCTTATTGGCACGTGGCATTTTGGGGCTGCTCATGATAGCGCGGTCAGATCTTGGCCCTCAGCTATCTCTTCCCGATGTAGCATCTAAGTTTTCATACTAGTGCAATATTTAAAATAACAACACCGAAGCGGGTTCTGGCTATACGGGCTGTACAGATGGAAATACGTATTTACCCGACTTATACGAGGCTGGTTCAGCGTTAAATTCGCTAGGGACATCATAAATTGCACCAGCTATTCCTGCCCCTCCTCTCTGCATCGTTCTCCTTTTCTGCTTCTCGTAGACGTCGCTCTCCGTTAAACGATAATACCGTCCTAATGTCCTCACATGTACGTGCACACAGCTCGTATACCAGTTCCCGTTTGACGCTCCTCAGGCTACTAGTGGTCAATATAATTACAATCCTATGGATGACGACTCAAGCCCACGGGTCCCGCGTAGGACAGCCATGGCTTGTCAATTTTGTAGAGGTGGTGCTTTTGCGATATAAAGTACCAGTACGCGTACTGAGAGTTTGTCAAGGTCGCAAACTAAAATGTGATGGCAGTCGACCTAGTTGTGGTAACTGCAACCGCCGGGGCTATCCCTGCGTCTATACCCCTGTGTACGACATCTATCTCATTCAAGACAGAACTCCATTAATGATTCTTTCCAGTGGTTCGGAACAACAAAAATAGCCACATCACTATACTTCTTGCAGATTGCGTTTGTTCGCCTCATGCAGTTCTCGTTTTCGTGGCTATATCTTTCTTCGTCGCGGAACGTTCTGCCGGCTCATTCCGCTTCCGTACAATGAAAGAGATCCTGAAGGGGAAAGTGAACATTATGATTACTTTGACATGGACTTATCAGATATACATAGGCTAGTCACCTGAGTAATACGCATGCAGCCTCCTGTTTATAGTATTTCATCAAGCATTTTGTCTATTTAAATTTGCTTCCTGTTCTGTTTTATCCAGTGCCCACCGAACGACTGGCGCTGTCTTGCGTCGCCTTAAAAGCATTACTTATAAGCACGATCATTTCGGAAATTTTGTCTCGGCATCCATGATATATAACCGCACTTCGTAATCTGAAGCGGGAGGGTCACCCAGAAGAACAGGTGACACGTTTGAACCACGACATCGCATCGTTGGCCATTCATTGTCACAGCCGCAGCAGTGACGGCACCAATCAATGAGACAGATCCAGATAGGCCCGTCGATCGCAAGTTTGAACGCTCGGTACCAGACACTTACTCGGTGCTTACAGTTGTGTGCAAACGACAACCTGGTCACAACCTGGTGTCATAGTCCGACAGCCCAAATTTTGGTACATTGGTCGCATGAAACGAAATGCCGCCATGTATAATGCACGATCTTCCGGATCTCGCTCGAGATTTCGAGAACCTATATTCGGTTCCTTGTCCTACGGTGTCGTAAAGCATTACAACTGCTGTTGATGGGGCCTCGATATCCTCAATGAAGTGCACCGGAGTCTGGTAATTCAGAATTTTCATTTCGACTCCCTGGCTGTACTCCTCCATTTCATGCAATATTTTCAAGTGCCCTTCGAGTCGGGTATGTTTATCGAATCTACGCTTCTGATAGAGCTTTACACTCAACTTATAGTTAACCGGATACGTCAAGTATATTTAGTTAACGCACGGAGCCGTTTTGGCGCCGCATTTTGCCATCTGATGACGAGAGGAATAAATTATCGGCACCTCGAAGGGTTCTGTTAAGGTGCAGGGGTTAGCTGAGGGCTTCGAATCTGATGTATGAATCTTTGTCTCCTACGACACATCATGAACACAGAACAGGGAACGAAGGTCTGAGGTGTCTGCAAGATCCCTCGATCAAGTTGAAGGACTTCCTTTTTGAGCATGGTCATTGTCATGCATGACTTTCGCACAAGACTGTAGTATTAGACAGTAGTGCTGCACATGACAGTCATTGACATACTATTCGAGGACCCCGCGAGGATGTTATTTTGATTTGGAAACATCTCCAGGTCCGAGATTCGCAATACCAGTGCCATTGCTACAGGCAAATTAGCCCTTGCTTTCTCATTTGGTGTCTCCGTGCGCATGCCATGCGACACACCTGACATAGCTATGTTTGGCTAACCAATATTTGATATATGGTCCCATACAAGCGAAGAATTTGGAAGCGCAGCACTGGCTGTGAAGCCTATATTAACCATAAAAATACACGGATCGCATGTCGAAACGTAAATGGTCATAAATTTTGCCATCACGGTTATATCTGATGAGATGCGGTGAGAACGGATCGTAGAAGCAGTAGCCATACGAATACCTCAACATCCAGCCAGTCCGTAGACGTTCGACGTTCATCGATGGAGATAGCTCGCACCGAAGGTCCCTAAAGGACTTGTCACAAATGGAATATTAAGACAAATCAAATCGTCTGAGACAGGCGGACTAAAGATGAAGTAGCCTGAGATGGAGTGACCGCGTAGCCCGACTAAGGCAAAACTCTTTGCTCAAGGACATAGTCGGAGTAGTTATAAGTCTTCTCGGTCTAGCGAAAATGGTGTGTGAGGTGGGTTTGTATGTACCGCACCCAAACCGCACACCATATGTGACCAAACAAACGTGGCCCGTTTTGTGGAAGTGCAGCGAAAGGCATGACGTAATAACTTGAAGTAGTAAGTAGTTGTCATCGGTAGCGTGGTCAGCCAATTAAAATTGTTTATCGTGTATTCCCAAGCTAACGCAGCGGCGCTTCTTGGTTCAGGTAATACCAATATGAACCTCCTTGCTGAACACCACCTGCAGGGAACTTCAGCTGCATTCTATATCCCAAACTTCATCTCTGAAGATGAGGAGCAGTATTTATTACGGAAGGTGAGTTGTAGCCGGACAAGTTAGTTTCTTAGGTGCGCTCCTTAGCTAGTCGTCAGATAGAAGATTCCCCAAAGCAGAAATGGAAGACGTTGCACAATCGTAGGTTTGTCACGTATACCGCTATCGATACGTGGGCACTAATCCGGCGGCTAATTCGTTATTTTTATTTAGACTGCAATTATGGGGTGAGTAGAGTCATCCGCTGCTGTTTGAAATCCCTCACCCAGGTTCATTTGTTCCATATAGGGGGTGAAGTTCTCCAGAAGAACATTCTGCTTCGCGAGGACTTGCCCGCATTCCTGAATGATTTGTGAGTCGTTTATCAAGCTTTGCGTAGCCTATCTCAACCATTCGGTCCGATAATAGTCCTGATGTTCTAGGACGTCTCAGATTTCTTGGCACCTTCGACCAGTCCCCACACAAAGGGCCCAATCACGTTATATTGAACGAAGTGAGATCATTGCATCTCACGAATAATTTTTATACCTCTCTCATCATCGTAAAAGTACCATCCAGGACAAGGCATCATGGTATGATCCGGAATATCCCGTTTCAACACTGATGATTAATGTCCAATTTGAAGCCCCACGAGGACGGTCCCTCATATCACCCGGTTGTCGCAACTATTTCCTTAGGATCACATGCAATCTTCCATTACTATCGATATAATAAGGATAAAGACAGTTTGAGTGTTGGCCCTGAATCGGTGGGGCGTAGTATCGATCCAGCGCCTTTATTGTCATTGTTTCTGGAGCCTCGCAGTGTTGTGATTACTACTGGGGAGCTTTACACGACGCATCTGCATGGCATAGACGACGTGTACGCCGACACATTCACCGGCAATGGTTTCCTACTTCTTCCAAATGGATCGCACTCACGGATCGTCAATCGCCACATGATTCAAGATGAGACTGTCGTGGGGATCATTGAATCGGGAGGGACAGTCAAGAGGACGACTAGGTACAGTCTTACTTGCCGCGATGTCGAGAAAGTAGCAAGTGGGAGGGTAGCAGGAGTCATCAAGCGTACTTGACTACGGTGTCCTATGGCCTAAAGGGACAACACCCCCACGTTCAAGTCCTCTGAGAGCCCTAGAGAATACAAATAGCTAACGTTCTTACGTCATGACAGTTGTGCTGGCACTTGATTTGGCCAAGATATCGAGCGAGGTATAGTATATCATTTGATTACAGAAGGCGCTTCCCCCTTCGAATCTTCCCCCTCTTCCCCGTATGAGAACCCACGTAGCTTTCTTGGGTGCCAGGGGCACTTTGACGACGTCTGCTGCCCCAAGGATGTCCTTGATGCGAAGATGTTCGTTGTTCATTCAGGGTGCTCGCTCAGCAGCATTGAGCAGCACTCGGACGGCACGTTGGATTACAGCAGCCAAAATTAAGCCTGCTAGGGCAATCTTGCCAGTGACGAGGAATTCGCGGAGGTCGATTTGATTTCGAGGAATTTGAGCGAGTATTAATATTGTTGACGCATCAAAAAACCCTTGTGGATCTGTAAAGTGCGAGTATGGGCGCCAAGTTCCTATGTACACTGAAGATTGATATCTTCATTGCGGGCCTGCGATAACCGCAGCGCTCAATTGCATTCATTCAGCAGGACTTGTGAGCATTGTTTCGTCGAACGGCCTCTTATTCTAGCTGCCAGTAGCGTACTAGACTCCACGACCAAACAGTTTTCCGGGTGACGGCTTTTCCAGCGAGAGTTTTACTCAGCCACACGACCTATGTCGACTCCATACTAGGTGCCACCCTCGGTCTTTGAAAATGAAAAGCTTACAACAGCATTTTCGCTGGCGCACTCCCCGAGTCTTTCAAATCTGTAACCAACCCCAGATATCAGTATGCATATTCCAGAAGTGAAGGTGAGGGGATTGTCAGGGACCGGAGTCAGTAACTTGAGAACTTGACAAGTCAACATCGCACGACCCATCAGAACCGTCTTCAGATGATTTTAAGAACTTTGTCAAACCGTGTCCAAGAAAAAGAAGGAAAAGGATTCCTTTCAATTTTAGATCTGAATATGTCTATGTATGCTTAGAAACGTTGATCGCGGTGAAAGAAAGGACGTACTATAGTAATCTGATACTGAACGTGGTTAGTTCAATTAGTCGAACAAATTTTTGGGACTGTCAGAAGAGATCTTGTCTCATTAATTGATCTGTACGCCTATACATCTCACGAACATCAGTCTTCTCCGGCTAGAAATGACATGCATGAGACACGCCTAGATACTGGCTCGTACGCACACCATGATTAAGATTCGCAAATAAACTCACCGAGGCTTAAACCACCCGAGGTTGTATTCCTCGCAGATTCGGAGATTACCTAGTAAGCAGCGCAGGCAGGACATTATAATGACATTAGCGTTCCTGATCACAGTAGAGTATAGTACACAGGAGTACATACCATTATCGTACGACATGTTGCCTCATTGTTTCCACACTTGGTGAACGGCAAGCACCGACAATGCTTGCTAATCAGTGTTAGGTACTGATTCCCGACAATCTCCTTGGCTGAAAGTTTTTTCTGGTTCTATGTACTGCCCCTCTGGAGACTGCCGCCTCATCGTGATCACGTACGGAATTACTCACTCCCGTGGTCAGACCGATATATAGAAGGAAGATAGTCGTTCCTTCTGTATCACCGCGCTACTAGTATGTAGCTGGGAAACGTTCATCTAGGGGTGCAAAAAACGACTGGAAAGAAGGGACGATCGTCTTCCATTTTCTTCAAAGTCTAGCCGAGAGGTGGCAACGATCAAAGGAACCTCGTTCAAAAGCTTAATTATAAGTCTCGCTTACCTATCAAGGTTTTGCGGTCAAGTTATGAATATTGAATATTGAACCTTTGCGCGGACGACAAAGTTCAATTATGCTGCGAAATCAAAACGGACAACCCCAGTATTCGAGTTCTTCAAGCTACCTCCTTCGTACTGCTTCGGTAAAAGGGACTTGGTAGACTCCTGGCTATGTTTGATCGAAGCTCGAGGTGGACATCCGCCGGCACCGCTTTTGTCGTAAAGGAGTCCCAGGATATGTTTAGAGGATACTCGGCTGCTGACCATCTTCTACTAGAATAAGAGGCATCGAGAAGTGTGACACTGGACAGTATAGACGGTATGTGTGTCGCAGCCACTGCTCTTCCACAAACGCAGATCAACAGCTGGTTAAAAGTAACAAGATCTACAAATAAGAGACACGATGATACACGGAATCAATACTGCATGCTTCCCAAAAGTCCCACGCTCTCCAACATCAGGTACTTTTTACTTGAACTGCAGCGTAAAGCATCAGCAAAAAGTCGTGGAATGCGATGAAAGAAAAACGACACTCACATTCTTTCCGTCCGCCCATTTCTTGCCATCGACCTCTAGATCCCATGCAAGTGCGCCCTCGAAGAAGGCTTTGTCTTGCTGGTTACCAAACACATCTAGTTTGGTGTATTCGTAGCTCTCAAAGTCTGGTGCACAGTCTACGGCTGCCTTTGAGTCTTGGCCCCGCAGGATGAGGACGCCAGAGATAATAGAGGCATTGGCCTGGCCAAGCACGCCCACCGATCCGAAGAGGTACTTGCGTGATGCCTCGAGGCGGTTGAAGAAGCCACCGATCTGGTTGGAGGACATGAAAACTTGCGTGAGTTCCTCATTGTATTTGAAGTCTACGCGCCAGACGGAGAAGCCCTCCTTGTCGAAGCTGCAAGTGCCTTTGTCAGCACGTTCGGCGAAGGAGAGGCAGTATGTGCTTACTTGGCATAGAACCACTCTAGCGAACCATCAGCGCCGCGCGTGTCCTTGTTGCTGTAGGCACGTTTCCAGTCCTCGAGGTTGAACGTGCTCTTTGGGAGCAGTTCCAAGGGATTCTTTTCCTTGGGCTCCTCAGGCACAAGGTTGCCATCATCTTCGTCATCGTCCTCAGCGGCTTTCTTTGGCTTCTCCTTCTTCTCTTTTGGTGCAGCTGGGGGTGCAGGCGCCTTCTCCTTTTTTGGAGGGACGTACTGCAGCGCCTTCTCGGTGTACTCAGTAGGACCGAAGATAGCCTCGAGTTTGGGCTGATGCACAATAGTTTCCAAGAAACGAACAGTGTTGATGAGTTTAGCGCGCTACATCGGCGTCTGCAGTGACGGAAACGACGCGCTGGAGAACAGCGGCGGTAGTAATGTCAGCAAGAGTAATGCGGTCGCCAACGAGGAAAGTACGGGTGCTCAGATGAGTCTCGAGGGTGATTAGGCTGCGCAATTGGCGCTCAGCGAGGGCGGTGTGGATCTGTATTGGGTCAATGAGAGCGAACGGTCTGGTGGCGAGGAACTAACTTACGCCTTTGCTGTAGGGAAGGAAGTTCTAAGCATCCCCGAAATGACATCGGTTTGTAATGGAAATTTCTGATTCAACAAAGTGAACCCATTGATCAACGACTGCGGCATCCTCTGGTGTCGAGCCGAGAAGACCAGAGTTGGGAGCAAGGCCGGCGACTGCAATCAAAACATTAGTACATACGTTTCAAACCCACAACAATACTACATGAAAGTGAGAACGGATAACACGATCAGAATTACGTGAAGTTGTCGACACAGAATTAAGACAGGGATAACTGTAGATCTTCTCATCCTTATGATATCCTAGATCAAAATCAACATAGAAAATAGTATGACTCACGATACCGTGCAATCGGGGCACCCTCCGTGAGGTTAAAGCCGTTTGCGCCCTCGAAAGCGGGGATCTTTCCATGAGGGAACTTGGCAAGAAACTCTGGCTTCTGGTTGTCCGAAAAGTGCTGATACTCAGGGATCTCGAGCTCAAGACCTGCTAGTGCACAGACGCTTCTGATCTATAGGTTATTATGAGTCATATTAAAACGCGAGATGACGCAAGTGCACTAATTACCGCCTTGGTCTGGGACATGGTAGAGACACAATAGAGCTTGCCCACAGGTGCCATTTTGAAAACTTGGAGAAGGTGATAGATGGAGAGAAAGATGAGATGGCCGATTTGATTAGCGCACCTCCTGAAATTTTATCGGAGCACAACCAAAACACAGGTCAGATAATCGCAACGAGGCCCATCTGATTCGATTAGGGCAGGCTTTATCGATCAGAGATAGGGTTAAAGTGTCTGACTCCCTTTCTTTCTACACAACAAGTCATCCTACTAAATCGATGCACCCCACCATTCAATATCCTATGATCAGCGGCTCCCATTCAAAGAGCATATTTGAGATCATAGCACTCGCCATGCTTTGTTTGCAATCTGATTGGCTGAGACAGACTTGCTGACACAGACAGTACTTTGAAGCGACGAGAGACTTGGAGCTCTCCAACACGAGTCTCTTCGAGTTGAAGCTGATTTCGACTATGATGAGCTAAACAGAAGCTTAAGTTCGCTCAGGCTGTATAGCGCCAATCCTCTCCTAGCCTGTAAGGACTTTAGCGAGCACACATGAACTTTAATGTAAATGATGACATTTCATACACAATCGCGCTAACATCATATCATGATATCGCGCCACAGCACTTCCATTGACAGATTCACCACCAGAAGTTCCTTCAATAGTCACATTCTTCTGGCAGCATCCATGACTTACGCCTAACTCTTTCTTGGACACTTCCCGGTGAGCTCCTAATCTGGTATCGTACGACTTTTAGCTCTGGACTAGACCGCGGGGCCCTTGTATTTGACGGATGTCATTGTCAGTTTATTGCGATGATTACTCACTGGTGCATCGCACTAACTGGTCCTAGTCAACTGACGAATATTAGACCCTTGAACTTGGTTTTAAGCGGCAAAACTAATGGTTCCCAACGGCTGCCTTCCTTTCCAATCTAGGTATTGAATTGTCAAAACATCCGTGCTTGCTAGATCTTTTAGTGACGCCAGCACTGTACAGGCGAATGGATATTACTTTCCGACTCGGTGAGGTTGATAGTCCGAGATCCAATTCTTCGTAGTGACAGCTGGCAAGGATAGTAATAAGTACCTGGCTCCGCGGTTGAATGAGGACAAGCCGGTGATCGCTGCCCAGTGTCCCTCGGAAGGGGTGATGCTGCAGTAGTTGTCATAATATAACTCAAGACGAAAGATCGGATCTGCCTTGCGCCAGCCTCCCAAATGAGCAGGTTTTGGAGTGAAGGGCAAGTATTGACGTCCCTGGTCGTGTTCCTGGTATGTTACAACCGCCGGCCACCGCCGACGTACGATCGGTACCACATGACAGCCTGAATCGTTTTCTCTGGAAACTAGTTGAATAGCATGATCATATAGCATGGGATCTATTTGCGCAAATGAGAATCTACACAACGCATCAAGTTTGAGTGTTGAAATAAGAAAGAAACAGATGCCGCTTGCCAGGAGCTCACCTGTGAGACTTGAGGTCGCCGGTGATGGCAAAGCTCTTGGCGAATTATCGGAGCAGAACTCGTGGAGCCCGAAAGACCATCCAAAAGTGCACCGATATAAGTCTGTCTTGGTCACCGAGTGTTGTGCTTGGAACTGCTGGACCAGGTTTTGAAAACTACTGGTAAAGTCCCTCGACCCCCTCACCCACAATGGGTATCGTCCACAATAACATTCATCTTGGGCAAGACCAGAACGAAGTAGAGGAGCAGTGATAGTGGAACGATCAAGAACAGACCACTCATTCCTCGGGGTAGAATGTAGCCCTCTTCCCCTTGGTAACCCCCTCACTGACCTGTCCGAGCTACGTCGGTGTCGTCACCAAGAAATGTAACATCATTGCACCACCACCGCGTGGTGAGTAGGCATGCCATTGTTCAGCCAACCTGCCAAGTTGTCTCACAAACATGTCGTGGGCTAATACTTAGTTGAAACACACAAAGTGACCAGGAACTGCAAAACATACCTTGTGATCTCCAGTCTGAAGTATCGATGCTAGAAGCAGCATAATCTTGATTAAGTTAGATGGACTGGCATTGATGTGAGTTGTAGTGTAAGGCGGTTTAGCATTTCGTGTCGGATGGGTGGACATATATTAGTTCGCCGAGATAAGATACTTACTCTCCAGTGCCATATCGTGATTCTGTGCTGACGGAAATGTTCTGTCAGCCCTTGCACTTCGCACTAGTTACTAGCATAACAAAGACTGATGACGTGATTGGCATGAATAGTTCAGTGCCTCCGCTGTAGCGAGCTCTCGCGTCAACTGAGACCCGGGAAGGTGGGTGACTAAAAGACAATGGTACGCGAAGGGCGTTGCGCATTGACTGCTCGACAACGTGTACAAAATGCTGACATCGATGATAATCAACAAAAGTGGAGGCTGGAACCTGCTTGAACTGACCTAAACGTTGAAGGGCGACTCAGGTCACTGTTCAAGTTCTTGAAGCTTTGAAGTTTGGACTTTTGCTGCAGTCCGTCAACCAAAGGAACGTGAATTTAATTCTCATGAAATACTTCGAGATATATGTGGCACTAAGTGCGCAGCTTCCGTACATTTGTGCTTCCTCGCCACCCACCTTTTCATTTCTGTCCCGTCTCTAGGTCTGGAGGTATGGTTTTATTAGATATCGTAAACTGAGTGTAAAAGACGTGCGGGTGAAGAGAACAGTATGAACACACAAAAGATACCAAGTGAATGAACCATACTAAGGCTCTTCCTTTCGTATCTTTTGGGTGCAACGTGGTTGCTGCTGTGCAGCGATTTGATTTCTTACCGATGCAAATTTCCTTGTTCGAGATGTACGTTGTAGGCCGCTGAAGGAACTCCCTGAGGATGTACGATACCTGAGCAAGTGGTGGTTGGCGTGACAGTTTGGTTTGGTTAGTTTTAACTGGTTTGGATCCAGAGTTAGGTCGCAAACAAACAACTGCAAACGGACCTTATCGTGATGGACAGCGATGAAGGATCCGAGCTCTATGCCTCAGATGTCGAGCACAACTATACCACCAACATCTTCAAAGAATCTGAATCTGACGGTCTGATCGACTCTTACAAGCCATCCTTTGACGCTTATTTCACGCACGCTTCCTCACGCACGCGCACATCTACCAATGTCTTTTCACAGCGTGTCGTGCCCCTCAGTCCTGAGGAGCATAATGCTGCTCTCGCACGAGCTTCCGCGCATGTTTATACGCCACAAGTTCCCTTTGATACTTCCAGTTTCAAGAGATGGGCTCGCGAGCTCGACGAAGGCTTCAATATATTGTTCTATGGACTGGGTTCGAAGCGCGGTATCCTCAATGATTTCGCAAAGCACGTGTCGAGACGTGGACATGTCGTCGTAGTCAACGCCTTTCACCCTTCGGTGACCGTGCGCGACATGCTTGCGTCTATTGCACGCGTCCCAGGCGTACAATACACCTCCACTTCTGCTCCTACCCAGGAGCGCGTAGCAGAGCACTTTGCAAGCTCAGACAGCCCCCATCTGTTCCTCATAGTTCATTCCATCGACCGCTCTCCAAAACTTGCACGTACCGTTTCTTCATTTGCACTCAGCCCTAATATCCACATTGCCGCGTCTATCGACAGGCTCAACGCGCCACTACTCTTCAGCGCGTCTCAGCTCGCAGCTAGGAAAGGTTCTTTCTTTTCTTCGGATCGTGCTACAAAAAATGTGGGATACGGCTGGCTCTGGCACGACCTGACCACTCTTGCACCATACACCTCCGAACTCGCGTTTGCTGACCGTACCTCCATTTCTGGTGCCTCATCATCTCGTGCGCGTGTTGATATGACCAACCCTGTCTCTGGCCCGCTGACAGAAACAGCGGCAATACATGTTCTAGCAGCGGTGACTGCTAAAGCCAAGAAATTATTTTCCTTACTTGCTGCCAAGCAACTCGAGAACGCCGATTCTTCCGACGTCTTAGAGGTCAACCTCGCACATAGCCCTCATGACCAGCAACATTTTGGCCTGACATATGATGCTCTCTTTACTTTGGCGCGGGACGCGTTCGTTGCCACGAATGATACTGCACTTAGAGCTCTGCTTGGCGAATTCAGGGACCACGGACTTGTGGTTAGCGCAGCACAGCCTGGTACTAGTGGTAGTGAGGTGTTGTGGATACCTTTGAGGAAAGAGAGGCTGTCAAAGCTAGTTGGGAATCTAGATGGGGACGCAGCATGATTGTGCGCTAATTATGTAGAACACATGTTCTCATGCTGTCTTGCGTGAAGAACTACCGCCTGCCAGTACTGCAAGTGCTAGCATGTAGGCTAGACAAAGAAAATAGGGTCTTGTTATTTCATACATATATGGAAGCAATCGGACCAAAATAGCTTCAATTCCGTCGGAAGCACAGGTGCACACTGATCAGACGATTGAACCCAAAGTTAAACCGAACAACCATTTACTGCGCGTTTCATCGCGCTCAGACCTCTCCACAATGTCGACAACGACGAAAGCCAAGTCAGAGCCTATGGCAGACTTGAATCCGCGCTCGACGACCTATGAGTTCTTGGGCCCACCGGGCGCCTTTCTCATCTCATTCGGCGTACCTTTCATGACGTATCTCCTCTACTTTGGTTGCTCAGAAGAATCTGGCGGCTGCCCTCCTCCTTTGCAATCTATCCCAGACCGATTCATGGAAGCACTGAGCGACAAGACCTTTTGGGCAAGTTTGTGGAATACCGAGGCCAGTTTGATTTACTTGGGATGGTACGCGTTTTGCATTGTTGCATGGGCAGTGCTGCCCGGAGATTGGGTTGAAGGAGTGACTATGCGCACTGGGGAGAAAAAGAAGTACAAAATCAATGGTTTGTGTCTGATAATGGCAGTGAGCGTTAACACTGATGCTGTTTATATGCAGCTTTTTCGACATTCCTCCTTGCAATGGGTATCTCCTGTGGCTATATCTCTCGTAACGGCCCCGAGTCCTTCACCTTCCTTTACCAAAAATGGATAGGATTCGTCACTGCTTCGCTCGTCATGTCCTTGGTGCAGGCCTTCTACGTGTACGCAAGTTCATACCGTCCGGGCGCTCTTCTCGCACTTGGTGGCAACTCGGGAAATTTCATCTATGACGTACGTTTCAAGTTTGCCTGTCAGTGCTATTCATGATTTAAGTGACTTGTTTAGTGGTACATTGGCCGCGAGTTGAACCCCTCCATTGGTTCTTTTGACATCAAATCCTTCAATGAGCTCCGCCCTGGTCTCATCCTCTGGGTCTTGGTGAACATAAGCATGGTTTGCGAGCAAGCTGTGCGTCGCGGGGGTTTCGCAAACGTGACCGACTCGATGTGGCTTGTACTCGCATTCCAGACCTGGTATGTTGCTGATGGACTGTATAACGAGGTTGGTCTCCCCATTCTACACGATTAAATTTGTATCAATCCAATATGTAGCCCGCCATTTTCACGACCATGGACATCACGACCGATGGTTTTGGGTTCATGCTTGCTGTTGGAGACCTCACCTGGGTGCCTTTTGTGTACTCGCTGCAGGACACGCTACCTTGTGTTCAAGCCCGTTGAGCTCGGACCTCTTCTTGCCGCTGGAGTACTTGGATTCAACCTCCTTGGGTATTATATTTTCCGCGATGCTAATGGAGAGAAGAATGATTTCAGAAATGGACGAAATCCTAAGAGTGCATCTTTTTCCTTTCACAAATGCTTTCATTAATATTGATTTACTGCTGTTCAGATTTGAAATACTTTACGACGTCTACCGGCTCGAAGCTTCTCACTTCGGGGTGGTGGGGTCGATCAAGACACCCCAACTACTTGTGAGTTCTTCTTTTCTTCCTGTGTTCTTGATATCTGATTTGTGTTGTGCAGTGGTGACTTGTTAATGGCACTTGCATGGTCGCTTCCCACCGGGTTCGATACGCCAATTACATACTTCTATGTTGTGTACTTTGCAGTCCTACTCATTCACAGGCAGCGCCGTGATGATGAAAATTGCGAAAAAAAGTGAGTTGGTCGCTCTTCTATGATCGATGTACCCTGACTAGTTGGCACCAGGTACGGTAAGGATTGGGAGGCGTACAAGAAACTGGTGCCATACCGTATTATTCCATACGTTTACTAGGAACAAGGTCTGGATGAATTGCTGCTCACTCCACGGATAATCAAGTTTCGGGAACGTTATTGTATTATGTTCTGCTGACAATGAACAATGTACATATCTGAATCAGTCAATCCCTCCCTATAATGTCGGATAATACAGAAATGTTTGTTTACCGTCTCGTCGTCGTTCAGCGTTAACTTTCAGTCATGAAAATGGCAGCTAACCGTTTCGCTCCGAGACTCGTGTGCTTCTATGTTATGCACGCTGTTACTCCAAGGTTGGAAGCTCAAGTCCGGCCACTGGTGATCTATAACAGAAGCCTGTGATGTATATCTTAGCGCTACAAATGCTAGCTCATTTCCCTGTGTTTGCTGAGGGATCTTGGTTAAGGAGCAGGGATGCATCCACGACAGTGTCCCTTTTAATCATCATCTGCGGAGCCACTTTTAAGAGGTCATGTACCAAATTCAGGAGTTGCACAATGATATCAATATTGGCTAGAGCTTCGGAGGTATGTCAACCCAAAACAACCAAGAGAAATTCAGGACCTCGACTCAATCCGCGCACTTGCTAGTAACACCTTCATGCAACTGTGCTCGCTGTCTGCTGTATTCGGTATTCAGTGCGAAAATAGTGTCGAATAACTCGGGTTCAGGACGGTCCTTCCGTGTTTGAGGACACTATTTTTTGAGGCTGCAAGCGATATCCGAGTCGACCGCGCCTCAAGCAGTCCCAACTCTCGGAACTAAACGTGAACCTCAATCGTTTGAACACGCTTTACAGTATCCTTGTTAGGCCCCTGGCTAGTGGACAATAGAAGCACCCACAAGCAAAATTTAGAGTGGCTGGCGAGGAGATTTGGGCGAACGGTTGCGAGGCCTATTGATGTTAATGCTGTTCGACTCGTCGACAATGGATGTTACTCCTGTTTGGATCACAGCTCCACTGGTGCGCATCTACCAGTTACTCGCTCCACTAGATTGATTCACCACTTGAAAAGAAGGGAAATCAGGGAACTGAAGACAGCTAATTTCCAAGTATGTCCTCTCATGCAAAACATCCACGCCGTTACCTACACTTCTGGGAGCTCCACTCCATCGCGCTGTCGGAGATGCACCTCTCATGTTCTTGCTTTGGGGCGATCTCCGGCCACAGAGCGCATGCGAGCCACTCTGACAATGTCATCGATTTCCAAACGGTATTGCCTTCCTTGAAGTTCCTTCGTAATATATAATGCTCATGGACGCGAGAAAGGACGTGATTTGATATTTGAATGCATCGTTGTGTTGGCGTCTGCGTCGGAGAGGAAACTTGCCTCCCCATTATGACGACCACGGATATCACAACTGACGTTTTGGGGCTCATGCTTACTGTTTGGGACCTCGGTTGGTTGCCTTTTGTGTGCTCGCTACAGGCACGCTACCTTATACTCAAGTCCGTCTCGCTGGACTGAACATCCTTCGATATTATATTTCCCGCGATTATAACGAGAAACGAATGTTCTTAGAATCGGACATGATCCCAAGAGTGGGTTGTTTCCTTTCGTTCCGTTTCACGCCTGCCATCGGTGTTGATGTACTGCCGTTTAGATTTGAATTTGAATTTAAAGTAGTTTATACGGTCTACGGACTCGCCGATCAAGGTGCCCTAATTACTTGTGAGATTCATATTTTTATTTGCTCTTGAGATCAGATTCGTGTTGTGCAGCGGTGACACGTTGATGGCAACTATCTACCGAGTTCGAGACACTAATCACATTGCTATATTGTATTGTGTAGATCACTCGTTTACAGGCAACGCCGTGACGATGAAAATTGAGAGAAAAAAGTAAGTCATTCAGTTATTCCTATTGGCTCTATGATGTTAATGCGTGTTGACCTACACTTGGGTACGGTGAGGATTGAATGGTGCTACACCATATTGTTCCACACGTTTATTAGGAACTACATGACAGCTATTCACAAATCCACGTGCCAGATGACTCCGCACTGGCGTTGCTTACCATTGGAGACTTGGTCAGAAATGTCAACGAAGGCACAGCACAGCGTCGGGGTTAAACGTCATAATATCCACCATCGACACAGCTGAGTCTGTCAAACAACAATATCGCCATGTCACTCACTAGTTGTCGTATTGTCAATATTAGTCGCGCGCTTCGCCTTTCACGGCCGTCACTCAACCTTGCAAACCGATCATCTTCGTTTGTTCGCATCTCTCAACGCCGCGTGTAAGACTTAAATACCATGGTCACCGATACCTTGAAGCTTGTGCAGACTCGGAGCTAAGAACTCACCTCGGACGTTTTTCTACAGGAGCTACAGGGTGTATTAGGACGCGAGGGATGCCAATGTATCACTACAAACCATGGAGACGACTTTTCAAAGGCGTGGTTTTTTCACGGAGACGAGCGAGCATGTCAGGGTGGAGTATCACTGGGCCACCGAGCTCAAGTAGTGCTGTGTGGTCACTAAGCAAGTGGCTCGCAGGGCCTGCTAGTCATCATGCCAAGGAGCCCTTGTAAGCTTGGTTGAATTTAGGAATATCAGTCAGGGATAGCGGAGAGGTGGTTTGTTTGTTTCGCTCCAAAACTGGCGAGAGGGAATTTCTACATTTATACACTGCAACAAACAACGGAAACTGTCAAGACGCGCGGTGCACTACGAACCGCTGTCCTAGGAGAGAATCTGGCCTGTTCGAAAGTAGCTGGAACTGCTCGTAGATCACTACCAACCTTATGGAAGATAAGGCCAGGAACGTTTGTTATGCTAACTAAATTCATTGACAGAATATTCTCAGGATGCCCTAATCTACAGCGGAGGAGCGAATCTAAACAAATGGGCTCCTTCGCGCCGATCGCGGCGGGAGGTACTTGGCCAGCAATCAATTGATCATGGAGCAAGTTACCGGGCTCCGGCCGCGGAACTTTGGAACGATGCGGTATTATAATTTGAAATTGAGAGGATGGCTCGAGGACTCATGATAGACTTGCGGCGTTCCCAGTGGTGGCCACTAGCACCCACTAGGCAGCTTTGGGTAATAAATATGGTATCCGCGGACCGCTAGCGTGCCCCTGGCCAAAAATTGGAACATGAAACATCTTTCTAGATCACGAACAGCAACCTGTAGAATTATCATCCGACTCAATGATCAGAGTGTGGACCCTGCTGAGGTTCTAGAGTCTGCTTCAAGTTCAGCCAGACTGATTAATCGATTCAACCGCACAATTCGTAGAGGTACAGAAATTTGAAATAAAGAACTTCACTGGTCGGAAGAGAAACGGAATCGATATCGATGATCTGAAGAGAGATGAGGCCACGGCAGGCACCAACTGTAGTACTAATTACTAGTTGTGCCGATGCCTTACCTAAGTAACCCGAACCTACGTCTACTACGCGGTCTAGCTATACCTCTCCCATACAACAACCCCGCAGGAACGCGCACTAGAGCGCACTAGAGCCCGCTACCAGGCCACCAGTGACAGCTACATCATGGACCTGACATGGCACGCATGTTTTGATGCAAGTGGTTGCGACCGTTGCGTCAAACTCGGACTCGGGTCACAATTTCGAATTTGATGGGCTACGTGCTTCATATGTATATCTACTACCATGATATTCAGCCATGAACAAAACAACTATTAGTGAGCAGTGCTGAGGTTCAGCGTTCAACGTTCAACACTAACTGGCAGAAGGCCATTTATAGACTTATACATACCCTCTATCCATCTGCGGTCCGACTTTTCTTCACAACGGCTAAAAAGCGATGCAATTGATACCACATATTGCCTTGGATCAATCTGTTACTAAAACGCCGGCGGCTGGGCCGGGCCGCCTTAACTGTTGGCGCGAATCGCCGTCGTAGGTGAACCACAGCCATGGGGCTTTAGCCTGGCTTGGCCAACCAAATGTGTCCTGACTCGTCACAGGCAATTATCAGCAGAACGCTGTTCCACAGCACGATCCTAATTACCTTTGCCGGGCTTAGTGGAGTTGAACGAACAGCCGTACTTGAACCTATATAAGTTATAGTGAGCTGGCAAGAACTCAAATCTCCAGACAGCTCCACACCGACAACTCCTTCCTTTAATCTTCCTCTCCCACATCAGGCCCGAGGATTTGGGCGTAATAAAATGAAATACAACAAAAGCTTCACGGCTTTGGTTGCCGCCGGCCTGGTCCGAAGTTCGCTCGCTCAGACATGGTACGTACGATTTCGATCCTACACAATAGTCCGCTGACTCTTGAATCTTTCTAGGTGCGGGAAGAATTATATGTCAAATCAGTCTGTGGTGCCTCCTGGCGGACAGTTTGTATTGCCTACGCGGAGTGTTGATCCGCTTCTGTCCTTCCACTGTGCCCCTGTCTTCCGTCCATACCTCCAGGAGGATGCGAAGAGCGCAGCATTTGTAGTGGATACACCAATTGTTTACGACTGGGTCACCGGCGCTGAGCCCATCTTACTTCCTTCTACCTCCGGCTCTTCTGGCAGTTCCACTGGCCTAGGAAGCATCAGCGTCACAATCAACGTGGGCTCCGTAAAGACCACTGCAAATGTCCCTCTGAACGCCACCAACTTTCAAATCCCCGTAGATATCAGCAGGCTCCAGGCTCAGAAGTCTGCATACCATGTCAGCTGCTCCGCTACATACACTTCCTCTTCCTCTTCGAAGTCCCAGAAATTCAAGACTAGCACATCCCTTTTGTATCTCCCTGACACAAATGCTTCCGTCACCAAGACTGACTTGCGCACTGGCGCACTCTGGGTGAGGCCCGCAAATGGCAAGGGTGGAGCATTTGCGCCCTTCGTCCCTCAAGGTTTCTACATAAATTTCGACGAGTATCTGGCGACAAATTTGACTATGATCGATCAACTCAAAGCCGACGGGTTCGTTTTACATTTCTATCACCTCCTACGAATTTACTCAAGTCTTTTCCAGGTTCAACACTGTATGTCTTGCGAACATCTGATATATCCCGTACTGAACGTCTATGCCATAGATTCACCCAATTCCTCCTTACTCCAATCTTACTATCTTCGAAGAAGTCATCAACAAGACCATTAGTGCTGGCATGTACATTGTTTATGATATGCGATCGTATGTCAGACTTTGCTACCTCATCGCATGGCCATTGACATCTTCTATTTAGCAACTACCAAAACTTGACCGCTGTCGCTCAACAAGTGGAGGCCTACGCCTCGATTCCCAACCTATTGAACTGGGAAACCGCCCACGAGCCTGATGGCAACTCCGACCCCCTGGGTGCGGCGCAGTCGACATACGACTTGATATATGAGATAGACGGATATCACCCTGTCTCTATTGTTCTGAATTGCGAGGACTACAACTTCTCGCCTTACGTCAAGGGAGCCGATATTGTTCTTCAGGTGAGCCATTCATAACATTTCTGTCACTCATGTTGCTAATCTTTGGTGTAGGATGCTTATCCTATTGGTATTAACGCCACATATTCCCCAGTGTGGCACACAGTGTGTACTCCGGACTTTGGTCACTGTGGTTGCGACAACTGCAATGGTACCTTGTACGATGTCAGGGCCCGTGTCCAGACATACAAAGATAGGCTCAACATTTTGGGCTTTGACCGCACCAAATCTGTGTGGACCACGCCCCAGGCATTCGGCAGTGGCGCGTAAGTCGTCTTGAGCCCTCGGTGCGATCTGTATTGACTCTCATTGCAGATACTGGAACACCACTCCCACTGGGCAGCAATGGACTGCTATGGGATTCACTTCCTTTAGCCATGGTGCCGTAGGCAAGTCATGCTGATAGACCGCATACGGACTAAAAACTCACTTATGTCGTCAGGTTCCATGTCCTACCAATACCCGACCACAACCGGCAATGTTACGACAATCGAGGGGACAGCGACTAACCTTACTGTTCTCATCAAGGACATCGTTCAGCCATTCATCGTCGACCCGAACGCTACATTTACCAACTACGATCATCTAGGTGTGGATGCCGGCCTCTGGCACAACGGCACTGCATACTTGCTCGTCGTTGCCAACTTGGTCAACGCGATAGTCTACGTGCCGTGGACGGACGTTGGATTGGGCTCGATCACCAACTCGACCACGCAGGTACAGCGCATATTCTCTGTCTCACAGAATACCAACGCCACTGGTCTGAACTTCCTACCTGGAGGTATTGGTATTTACACTGCGACTCCCCCCTGAAGTGCCTCAAATATAGAATGAGGATCAAGGAAGCAGGAAATTGGCGATCCTAATGAGATGTTAATGACTTATTATTTTGATCAGTTAGAGTATTGTGCATAACCTATAATGTATGTCTACTACTTTCATGAGATTCTGTGGAGTTCGTACGAAGATAAACACTTGCTGCTGTTTGAATACCTGAGGATGTCTGCAGTTCGTTACATGCATATAAAGTATTTAGTCACCTACCCAGGCAGCCAGACGACCGAAACAAACGCACCTTAATCGAATATCTGGAGCCACGGTCCTTAAGATACAGCAGAGCTTAAACTCTCAGCTGTGGGTAGTAGAACCAATTGATTTCAGCATGGAAGGTCAGTCTCACTAACATTGTGCGTGTACCTCATGAGGGTTTGTTGGTAGTTGATGGGTGTTCGTCATCAACCCTGGTCAATGAACGAGAGTCTCACAAGGAGATCTTCATTACTAGCACGATTTCCAATAAAACCTTCATAAACAAACGCATCGTAAACCTTGTCTATAACTTTTGCAGCACCGCTGAGTCATAGGGTATGGGCAGCCGCAGCGTGAAGCGCAATGAATCTGGGGTCAGGAAGTAGAATATCAGTTTCAGAGTGATCTTGGAATTGGACTTCTGAAATTATGCCGCCCCAAAGGGACATCCTTTCAAGGGCGTAAGTACCTGAGATCTCACGACAAAAACCCAACCATACTGTGGGGTATAGGCAGCACGCGTAGCCGTTGAAGTAATGGTGCATTGACATCTTGAGTAACATTCCATTCTCTGGGTTATCAATGAAATCAGCCACGTCATCCATCATACTTGCAGGGAGGTTAATGTGGTGCTTTATGATGTCAATTGTTCCCGCGATTCGCTGCAGAACAATCAACTGGACGGGCACAGCAATTTGACAGCTGGAGAACATACATCGTCTCCGGAATGCTCGTAAACAATGGGTCTTTGGAGGATGTGAGCAGTATAGAGGAACCCTTCATAACCTCGAGTATCGGGAGAATATGGGCACTTGTGTGTATTCAAAGTTTTAGTGACCGCGCACTTGTCGCCGTCTCGTTCGCCGATCTAGATGGTCTTTGGATGAACATCCTGCAAAGAACAAGGCGAGACGCTGCAACATACCAAATTCCGGAATTTGGAACCTCGCGACGTCGTGGGCACAGCGTCAGCAACGACTTCGGAAGCACGGAGAGACTCGGAGGGTCTAAAGCATGAGCAGCAGCTTGCGAACAAAGAAGGCCAGAGGAAGAATAAAAACTAATCATGCGCCAGCTTCATTAACTCGGATGCAGAGGAGCTGGACGCTTCTCCCTTTTGATATGACCTTATGATAGCAGCCGCTGTGTAGCGTACACCGCTTGACAAACCAGCTTTCTCTGAGCCTTCCATCATTGCGGCCAATAGATCAGATGTCCTGACTCCATGCGGGCCAATTGAGCTTATCGTAGATCCCATTTTCAAAAAAAACGGCCTTTGCACGACGCTTCAACTTGTTGTTCGTCTCCGGCTCGGCGTCACTCATCATAGTAAGATCGCGTTTGAACGTATGGCCATCTAATAGGGATAGGGTAAGGGTGCATGCACCGGATATATCGTCGTCGAGAGACATGTTGGAAGAATTGACTCGATAAGAGTCAGAGGGGTTGCCGACAATGTGCTATAGCATGTCATATCACCTTGCGGAGCAAGGTCATGTTGGATAGAAGATTATCTGTCAGTCACCTGATATGAACATCATGCTGTGCAATCACGTGAGATGAAAGAACGTCGTAGAAAATAAGTAACCTAGATCTAAAATCAAGAAACTCAAAACTGTAGCAATTACAGAAATCCAAAGCACCGGCTAAGCATTGCCTGCATATCGGAGCAAGGTCACAAGTTCGCAATGCGAACCCCTAGTTCAATCATTTGTGCTTACATAATTCACAGTCTAAATCGTAGCCTAGTAAGTACGATGTAAGGACAAAATGTTTGATCCTGCGGAAGCAATTGCGATGCGTGAACTCCGAATCGCTCAAGCGTGTCTGCTCGACAGTCTCCTATTTGCGTGCGTTGTTGTACTCCTGCTTTTGCAATTGCACTTCGATGCGTGTCTTCTGAGTTCCACATGCAATCGCACATTTCTCTCCTGACTATACCCTGTTCTTTTACCACCATGGCTTCGGCGTGCTCTTTCCACGGCGTTGTGGGTATCCAAAATGCTGCTCGTTACGCTTCGGAGCAGAGAAAGGATTAGCCGTGCCTGACCTGCTCACAGATTCATTCGCACACGGACAGCCATACATTGCACCTTCAAGAGTACGAGACATTCGAAAGCTATTTACAAGAAAGAAGAGGAAAAGACAACAGCAAACGTAGTACACAGACATCTCTTATCAGTGTAATTCACGGTAGAAAACGTCCAAATGTGAATGGATCACTTGTATATCGTGAAAAAATGAAAACACAAAGGAAATAGGACAGGACTTCGAAAAGAAAAACACGCCATAGAAATGAGGGTGTTGATAAAAGCAGAGCAATAATGATGCAAGTCATTGCTTATACCGGCCTGAAGGCTTACCACCCAGAGCCACCCAATCACAAGTGTGCATGTAAACAGAGATGTAACTCGGCATGCGGAGCACCGTCTGACGTCGCAGCTCGCTACTGCTGCATTCCTCGCTAGCCAGGATGAACCTCCCTTGTCCACCCTCCGATCCAGTAAAAAGACAGACCGTGGGAGGTCTATGGGCACGGAAATAGTAGACCGTGCCTGAGATGGTGTCGACGAGGGTGAACATGTGACCTTCAATAGGGTCAAACGGCGGGGCTGCGAGGGCCGCATCGTACTGCGAAACGTGGCCTTCACGGAACTTGGAGTCACTCGGTCTCGCCAAAGGTGAACCTGAAGGAGTGTAAAAGGTGCGACGAGAATCTCCAATCTGATATCCATACAGATAGTCAGAGGCTTCCTGCGCAGAGATGACTCCTTTGACTCCGATTAGCCATGGACGAGCAAGGACGACTCGTCCAGAGTGCGCATAAGTTGTGAAGATTGGCGCAAATATCAGCAGAATAAGTGAGAAAGCAGCCATGATGCCGCCGACTACAGCTAGAGGTGGTAGAGGAAATGCATGGATAGATGAGATTAAAATCACGGCGCCAGCCACAAAGACCGCCGAGGCCACATATGGCAGTGCATGTGCCAGAAGACGTCGGATAGTGCGCCTCGTAGCGTATGCGACGGATGGAAAATTTTTCCACCTAATTGCTGCCGCCCGGCAGCCATCCAACACAAGGGAACCATTGGATGTAATGCCGATGACCTGTACAGTGGGCTCGATGTCCCAAAGCTTGGCTCCATATTCATCTTCTTTGGTGTACCATTGATTTATTCCTCTTCGATCTCTGGGAAACATCGAGATCATGCGATCAGCAATGCGGTCGTTGTCGTTCGCCATAAACAGGCGCGCAAGTGCTTGCAGCTCTGTCTCCTCGGCATTTGGGAGAATGCGATGCTCGAAGAATCCCATGAGCGCGTAAACCTTTTCTGCGCGATATCTCCCCTGAGAACTTCCCTCCTGACTCGTAAGTTGAGAGGAAGAGCTTTGGCGGCGCCATATTGCTTCTTTGAGTTGGAGATTACGCTCCAGCCTCTCGAGCGGATCCTTCCCGAGGCCATAAGAGTTGATAATATGGGATTCTTCATCGTGGTGTGAGTAAGCCAAAGAGGCGATTTGGATGAGACTGATGGGGGTGACTGCATTATTCCCCGCCTTGTATCGCAGCTCGCGACTGAGGAGAGCTTCCGGCAGAGTCCAAACGCGGCCGCCCCAAGCGGGCCAGGCGCTCTCGTTGGTGAGTATGATGAGTGTGAAAGAGGCAAGTCGGTAAACGTCCGACATGCGATAAAGGTCTTGGGCCTTCTGCGCGGGGTCTTCAAATAAGCACTCGAGATCTAGCCAATACGCGTCAAACCCTTGATCCAAGGTAGCATTCCGCACCTGCTCTATGAGCGCCTCCGTACTTCCAGAATTTATCACGTCACTGTAGCAGTAGGTGACAGCGACATATGGTTTTCGCCTCACCGCTGCCTCAGCATCGACTCTTGTCCAATCTCTTCTGTTGTTGTCATATACAACAAGGAAGCGGGGGTAGAGGGCGTGGGTGACACGTCGGGCATGTCCATCATCTTCACCCGCTGCTCGTGCCTGTAGAGAGTATTCCCTTGGTGAGCGTGCAGCCCACAGTTGGCCAACAAACCGCATCAAATACGGCTTGTAATAATGGCTGAACGTAGGCCTTCTGGATGGAACCAGCAATGCGATGAAATAAATGGGCCAGATGAATAACCACAAAAATGTTTCGTAGGATGGGTTCAACATCACCCTGCACAGCCAACCAGCAAGCTGAGTGGATAGTGGCGCGTTCGATCGAACATTGTCCTCGTTCCAATCACTATTCAAGTTGGGATTCACGGACTGCACAATCAGGCGCTTGCATTTTCCGCTAGAGGGACTGGTGTATCGCAACGTTTTTCGGTGATAAAAGGGCTTGAGCTGACTGTTGTAGCACTCATGGTTCATCTTCAGTTTAATGGCTGGATGAAAACAATGTGAGTTGGTCAAGGAATGTTAAATGATAAAGCGGAGACAGAGCTTACCGTGGGCAGAGGCGAGAGGGATACAGTATCAGCTTTCTGTACGGTCATTTAAAGCTTCCAGGAAGTGCTGTAAGACGATAACACACATACTGAGATCATCGGGCAGTTGCTGTATGGCGCGGCTTCTAGAACCAGAGACGTTTTCATTGTCAGTTGGAATGCCAAGATATTATCGTGCTAGTGTGGTGTCAAACAATAAAGTTATGATCTTTCTTAGCGCAGGAAGATCACAGCTCTTGGGGATCAAATTATGGTGTTGATCACAGCTTTTCAGGGCTCTTGGGCGCAAATCGGGGGGCAACTAATCCTTCCGCGGGCACCTTGTTCTGGAGCGAACAGGGTGATAAAGGGTAAAAGGGGTATTAGATAAAGCTCCTAGAGACAGATGGGCACTGATGACAGGACCTGAGGCCTGATAGGTGACAAGTAGTGGATACTGCAGAGGCCTGAAACCAGAACCGCGAGCATAAGGGAATTCAAAGTGAGTAGTAGGGATGACTAACAGTGACTCATCCAAGAAAATGGGCAAGGTTTGCCTGCCATCAGGCTAATATGACAAACGAGGAGGAGTCCAGAAGGATACAGCTGGCCTATATCTCCGTGGTCCCGATCATGATGACTTTCTTTCCTGTGTTCGTTTACATGGCTTCTGGTTCTTCGTTAGTCACCGCTCAAGGTGCATCTCTTCTCCCTTTGTTTCCTCAGCAACAGATCGGAAGGATCATATGCATGATGCTGCATGTTTTCCATTTGTAAAACACCCCAGTTCTCACTTGCTATTAATGAAAGAAGGTTGAGACTACTGTAGAGATACGCACTTAGGTTCGGCCCTATTGAGGTGTGACCAAATGAACGTTAGGTTCGAAGGTTCGCAGGGGGTGTGTGACGTGTGACACGCTGTGCTTAGGTTCGATGACCGTTAGGCAGAGCCTGCCAGTGGATGACACAGAGCTTCGATCTACAGTGAATAGGTCTAAGGAAGTTGAGGCTGGGGGCTGCATCAGTAAATTCACACATTGCTTAGCTTCCTTTTTTGCAACTTGCCGCCGGCTAATTTCCCAAAAAGGCGCGGATAAGTCCTTCGCAAGAATGGTGACACCAACTTGCTGTAAACTTGCCACAAGGCAATTTTAAGTCGAAAAAGCAGGTGCCTCCTCTTGGCCGTGACTTATTTCAATCTTTTCTAGCTTTTTGGGCAATTATTTTTAACAGTAGCACTTATTTCTCCGTTGCATTGCGCAAGTTGTTGATTCTTATTTCACTTATTTCACACTTTTAATATAAAAATAACCACAAAAACACTGGCATTTTGTAAATTAAGCGAGGGAAAGAGCATGCAAGTACTAGTAAGTAGCGAAATATAGATGTCAAGCAAGAACAAGCATGAGAGATTCAATATACTATGCAGCACCTAGTAGTAGTGAATGACTCTACAAAATCGTCAGTTAGGGAATAGTAGTGAACAATGAAATGGTACTACCAGTTGTTGTAGATGAGTGCACGCTCATCGTCGGAATCCTCGCTGTTGAGAGTGGTGGGCGCACCATGCCTCTTCACAGCAATGTCCTTGGTGCGCTCCCAGACATCCCAGATGACCGACTCTCGGAGGTGGTTGATAGACTTCATGTATCCCCTGGTCACCTCACTGTAGTTCGTGTCTGAAAACGCCTTGAGAGCGCTACTGGGCTTGCCCAAGGCTTTGTTCATGGTGTGTGGGACCTTGATGGCCTTTCCTTTGCTGTTGACTTTCAGTTCACTGACACACATGTCCCCACTGAAAATATCGAGGGCACATTCCATCTGAAACACGAGAAATGAGTTAGTTGTGGTATGACGAGAGAATGAATATACATGCTGCCGCAGTGGCAAGACTAAGGGCACCCTTTGCGTGTGTGACCATCCTGTGGTTGTCAACAGTGCCCCAAGTAGCACACCTACAGTGGCTCAAAAAACTGTCCACATGTTTTGACATTTTTCACTATCTATGATATTGTGTGAGAACAAACAAATGCCTCAAGGACATGCTTATACCACATTGTAGTATGGCTTCAGGGCTTTCATTTGAGCGCTACACCGTGGGAATCTGTGGAGATATGGTGGAGACATAAGGCTTACAAAATCATGACTCATGTGGACAGTTTTTTGAGCACATATTAAAACTATATAAATCATCATTTATGACACCATAACAATCATGCCACCATTAAATAAATTATAAAGTGGTGTCATTATGTCATTTTAAAACCATATCTAACTATACAAACCAAAAATTTCCATATGTCATGGTTATATTCACCATGAAAGCCACCCCCCTGCTCAAAGGGATAATATCCTCTCTCTTTCCTATTCTGGCCTCTCTGCTTGTCAAATTTCCTCTAGAACTGGAGTATCCAAGTCCACTGTGGCCAAGTTCATCAAAGAAAGTCACACAGACAAGGAAAACTTCTGTGAAGGGTGTCCATCCAAGCTCATCTCTACTGATAGGAGGGCTATTATTCAACATATCACTACAGGAAAGGCTGATAATGCTGTCCAGGTCACCTATTACATCAATTCCACCATCACATTCCCTGTCTCTTCACACACTGTGAGAAACATTCTCAAGACAGCTCATCTCAGGTCAGTAACAAGGAAGAAAAGGCTCTCCTCTCTATCACACATAAACAGAGATGACTAACCTTTGCCTTAGCCCATCAGAATTGGATTACATGGACTGGAAGCATGTTATATGATCATATAAGACCACAATAAATAGGATTGGGTCAGATGGCAAGGTATATATGTGAAAAAGAAGGGTGCTAGTCCTTTCTGCATATGTGTGATAAAGAGGAGAGCCTTTTCTTCCTTGTTACTGACCTGAGATGAGCTGTCTTGAGAATGTTTCTTACAGTGTGTGAAGAGACAGGGAATGTGATGGTGGAATTGATGTAATAGGTGACCTGGACAGCATTATCAGCCTTTCCTGTAGTGATATGTTGAATAATAGCCCTCCTATCAGTAGAGATGAGCTTGGATGGACACCCTTCACAGAAGTTTTCCTTGTCTGTGTGACTTTCTTTGATGAACTTGGCCACAGTGGACTTGGATACTCCAGTTCTAAAGGAAATTTGACAAGCAGAGAGGCCAGAATAGGAAAGAGAGAGGATATTATCCCTTTGAGCAGGGGGGGTGGCTTTCATGGTGATTATGACTATGATACATGAGATATTCTGGTTTATATAGTTAGATATGGTTTTAAAATGACATAATGACACCACTTTATAATTTATTTAATGGTGGCATGATTGTTATGGTGTCATAAATGATGATTTATATAGTTTTAATATGTGCTCAAAAAACTGTCCGCATGAGTCATGATTTTGTAAGCCTTATGTCTCCACCATATCTCCACAGATTCCCACGGTGTAGCGCTCAAATGAAAGCCCTGAAGCCATACTAAAATGTGGTATAAGCATGTCCTTGAGGCATTTGTTTGTTCTCACACAATATCATAGATAGTGAAAAATGTCAAAACATGTGGACAGTTTTTTGAGCCACTGTATGCTGTACGAGAACTTGAATGAGGAGTTCAGATTGAAAAGGCTGCTTGAATTTGCCATCCTTGGTGACAGTCCCATACAAGAAAGCTAACTTGAGACGTAAGTTTTTTGCAAAATTTTTGTGATCCTTGTCAGTCTCCACATCGTCCTGTGATGACATGAAGTGCGTAAGTACTGTGATGGCAGTAGTGCCAACACCGTTGCACCACTCTGATAGCTGCTGGGTAGCCTAATAAAAAAATAAAACACAATCAGATATGAAATGCGTCAAAAATGACTTACTAAAGCCATAACCAGCCCATCAATGGTGACTGTGTGAGGTATATCCTTGTAGACCGCATTCCAAGTGTCTTGCATAATAGCACAAAGCGTCGTCTCTGACTTGAGTTGGCCCCAAACTTTGTCTTGATCCCCAATGGTGGAAATGAGGGTAGGAATGAAGACTGAGCTCCACCTAGCGACTGCCTGAGGACCTCCAGGAAGGTTTTTGATCCTGTAAGCAGAATGGGGGAGGATCTCCACCTCTACAGATTTCAGCATGGTGCCAGAAGTAGCACTCGAGATGCTGGAAAGACTATGAGTGTGTGTGATAGAAGACTTTGTCCGCTTTGCCACAGGAGCTCTGTGTTTGACGCCAACATTAGTCTACATAATTTGTAGTTAGTATGATTTAAAAATAATAACCAAAGCTTACTACTGCAGAAGTGACCCACAAGGATATTGGTTTGGATTCGGTCTTGACCACCACAGGCTTGACATGATTCACAAATTCAATATCAGACGAAGGTGCATCTTCCTCGATTGCAAAGGCATGATTATCTGTGAAGTCGTCATTGACCATGAAGTCGTCCTCAATCAGGTCGTCCTCCAGCAGGGCATCCTCGATCTTGTCATCATTGGTCAGGATATCTATGAGTTTGCACTTGACACTTGTCATGGTAGAGTGGGATGTTTGAGTTTGAGTGAGAGCTGCAGCTCAATGGATATCAGCATCATAATATCCTCTGGGGACCTGCATAGAAGGAGGAGGCTCGAGGTCAGATTCCATATTGGTGTCAGATCCATAGTTAACAAGGGAAGCTACTACTGGGGGAGCTGCCTCAACATTCATTTCATCATCGGCAACAACATCAGACTGAATTGCATTGAGCTGTTGAGGAGTCAGATTGGTGTTTCGATAGGCATGAATGGTTTGTACTGAAGTATCAGGAACCTTAGAAGAAATCTTGACACCCTGGTAATGCAGTTAATGCAATAAAAAGAACTGGGTAATTGAACTCACCTGAGCAGCCCTTGGTTTAGACATACAGGCAAGGGCTTGAGAGCGCTCGACTGATTTGTCCAAATCATTGTCTGCAAATAGGGTCGTAAAACAATCTGCCATGTTGTCAGCCCCAGCATCGGCGATTGTGTCGATGGGTGTGAGTGGGGCACCACCGCTACTAATAGTACTCCCCATAGTTAGTTTAGAGGAGGGAGCAGTACTAGAGAAGTTGGAAGGCATTGTAGATAATTTTTTCCTCAAGCTGGAGGATGGCTTTGAACCAGCAGGAGGAATATCAGTCCTCCAACCCAAGATGTGCTCAGCAGCAATACCATAATCTTTAGTAGAGCTATCATCATGGACCATTAGATTGAAAAAGAAAAGAGCTGTTTCAGTGAGATGGTGCAACATAGTTGAGAAGCAAACATCTTACCACATCATCAAGCTTCTTATCGTCATCACATGCCATCGTTGATTCATCGATAAGGCCTGCAGCTTGGATTGCATCTCTCACCAGCGTCTTCACTGGTAACACTTTCCTCTTCTCCTTCTTCTTGTGTGACCCTGGCACTTGCACCTCTTCCTCAGCATCACTCTCAGGATGTTCAACATTAGCACTGGTTGCTAATTTACCTCCCGCTCTACCACCCTTGCCATCAGCACTAATGGCCTTATCCTCAGCCATAGTCGAGTTGGAGGTCTCCATGGCTTTTACAGCCTTTTTAACAGGGCATGGGCAGGGATGAGTAGGCTTTGGCGCATCAGCTCATTTAGCAGCTTGATCTGTCTCCATTTGTTTCTGAAAAGCAGCAATCTGGTTATGTGCTTCAAGTTCAGCCATTTCACTTGCCCTCTTTTCCTCTTCTTCGTGCTGATTGTCAGTGGCCTTTTGAGCTTTGGTATGTCTCTTTACGTGGCCTTCACCCCCAGTCAGGATATAACTTGGATGCTGAGTTGCATTTTTAGCTTGGGTCGTCACACATTTCGAAACTGTGCTGGCAGGCTGAGACATGGTATTGACAGAGGGTTTGGGAGGCTGAAGAAAGAGAAAATTTGACTAGTGGTGGCTGACAACAAGGTGAGTTTCGTCAATTCTCCAAAAAATGTTGCCTAAGCTGACTCTGAATAAATACATATGACCCTACTTTGCTCTGACATACCTACTAATATACTAGCACAATATTTTGCCATTGCCGTTAATATTGGGAGTCTCCAGCATTTTTCAGGCACTCTGATCCAACGCTTTGCCTGTGAGACATCAATGTCACAGTTCACCAACACCTTTCCAATGAGGAGATAGTCTACCAACCCTTTCCGCACTGTGAGTACTAGTTTTCATTTGTTGATGCAGTGAGACTGAGGTTAACCACCACATTTCCAGTGTAGCACTAAAATCAATGTTTGCCAAAGCCTGTTCAGTACAGTTTGCTCGTGTCTGGGCCCCAAATCTGGCTTTTATTATCAAACTGGTTTGTCACATTGGTGCCAATAATTATGGGTGGTTGCACCCCAAACCTAGAATGTGTCCACCTTTGACATCTTCTTCAATTGTCAACATCCCAGCACAGCACATATGCCTTCCCGTCATGCTCACCACCTGCTTCAGCTTCCATGCCCAGTTCCAGGATGCTCATGCTGGTTTCAAAACCAGTCAGGTCTCACACAACACAGGTGCTCACTTCACCCAACTTTACCTGTTTCAGGACTGTCCCCTCAGGATCATCCCCAGCCATCTCATTCACCCTCCCTCCCTCGAGACTTGTCACCACCCCCTTGAGATTTGTCACCACCCCCTTGAGATTTGTCACCACCCCCTTGAGATTTCTCGCTGCCCCCTCCAGATTTTTCACCCCCACCCCGGCCATCATCTCCCATACTCCATGATCCAACTCATGAGGATTCAAACACTGACACAGAATTCACTGATGCGAGCGAGCGTTGCTATCACATGTTCCATTCAAAGTTAAATGGTAAGTTTCATTCAAGTTTGAATACTCTGTTTTTGGCTCAAATATATGCTTAGGATGACCATGCATGGCTGATGGGACATTTCTGCTGCATGGTACCCCTCTGACTCCTGCACCACTGAAGGCTCCCAATGATTGGAGCCCATACCGCAATAGAATCGAATTTGAGGTGGCAGAGTTCACATTCAAAAGATGCCACATGTCAGTGAGGAATTTGGATTTCCTGTGTGACTTGATGGCTGCGACACTTGCGAAACACCATGACACCCCTCCATTTGCTGATCACAAAGATCTGCACAACGTCATAGATGCGATGCAGCTTGGTGATGTCCCTTGGCAGTGTTTCTCTGCACAATACACAGGAGAACAACCCGAGGTTGTCCCACCTTGGATGGACGAAGAATTTGAGGTCTGGTATAGGGACCCTTGTGCAATGGCACACAATATACTTGCTAACCCTACCTACAAGGACGAAATTGACTATGTGCCATTTTGTGAATATGATGCATCAGACGAGATGCGCCAATGGAAAGACTTCATGTCTGGAGACTGGGCATGGCAACAGGCAGTACGTCCTCCATCTCTTTCTGGTATTGCTCATAATATAGCTAATATTCCATCAAGGACACCATATCACAAGATCCAGAAACACACGGACCTGCTTTGATCCCAATCATTCTTGGTAGTGACAAGACTACTGTCTCTGTGGGCACTGGTAATAATGAGTATTACCCCCTCTATGCCTCGATCGGTAATGTACGCAACAATGTACAATGCACACACTGTGATGCTCTTGTCATCATCAGTTTCCTTGCCATACCCAAAAGTACGTATGTTCATATTTAAATTTCATTATGCCTCATCTGACCTGTCTTACAGCTGACAAGACGCATTCGAAAGATGACTTATTTCGGATATTTTGCCGCCAGCTGTTCCATGGCTCATTGTCTGTGATTCTCTCCAGTCTAAAACCTGTTATGACTGAGTATGAGGTTGTGTGCTGTGGAGACAGACACTTTTGGCACATCATATATAGTCTAGGACCATACATTGCGGATTATGAAGAACAACTAGTGCTATCCTGTATTGTCAAACATTGGTGCCCGAAGTGAGTATTGGCACTTGCAGTCAGTATCCATTCACACTAACAATTTGTGTAGATGCATTGCAGTTCACACAAACCTTGATGGTGATGCCACCTACCACACCCACAAGTTTACTGATTTCTTAATCAATGAGCTACATGTGGATGTATTGTGGGATGAATTTGGTCTCATTGGTGATCTCATCGTGAGTCGAACAAGCCACTCTCCAATACCAGACTAATCTATTTTGTGTAGCCATTCACTAATGACTTCCCCCGAGCTGACATTCATGAGTTGCTGTCATTTGACCTCTTCCACCAGCTAATTAAAGGGGCTTTCAAAGACCATCTCGTTGATTGGGTAGCAAAGTACCTCAAGGCCATGCATGGGACCAAATGGTCAGAAGAGATCGTGAGTGACATAGATCGCAGGTATGTCAACTTACTCATTTACTCAATGATATTATCTAACAATAAGTCAGAGTTGCTGCTGTACCATCATTCTCTGGTCTACAACATTTCCCTCAAGGCCACGATTTTAAACAGTGGACTGGCGATGATTCCAAAGTGCTCATGAAAGTGTTTCTTCCGGCTATTGAAGGTCACGTACCTCAAGACATGGTGTGCGCATTTCGTGCATTGTTAGAATTCTGTTATCTTGTCCAGTGCAATGTCATTACCGAAGATACACTGATTCAGATTCAAGACACACTTGGTCATTTTCATCGATATCGCACGATATTTGAAAACATCGTTCCCACCTTCTCACTCCCCCATCAGCACTCAATGGTTCATTATGTTGACATGATCAGACTCTTTGGTGCCCCTAACGGACTATGCTCATTGATCACAGAATCAAAGCACATCAAGGCCGTAAAGGAGCCTTGGCGGTGGTCGAACAGGCACAATGCTCTTGGTCAGATGCTTGTGACCAATCAGCACCTTGATAAGCTCACAGCATCCCATGCAGACTTTGATGCGCAAGGGATGCTCACTGGCACAATTTTATCAAGTACTTTAGCTGCTCTTGGTAAGTCTGTTTAAGGTTTCTTTCTCAAATTTCTCGCATACTCAACAGTCATATACAATGGCAGATGAAAACAAACCAGACGCCCCTGCTATTGCACCACAACCAGATGCCCCTGTCATTGAACCGCAACAAGCAGACGATACTGATGATGCTGAAATAGTTGATGGTCCAACAGTGCTCGCTTATGTGGCACTTGCCAAAACTCCTCATAAGTAATCTCATGCAATGTCCAATCTCAATGCTCACCACTGTATCTCACAGAATGAAAATGGGCACAGACAGTAGCAGCATTGGCACATGAAGTTGCTGTTCCAGATCTACGACACCTCATTTGGTACTTTCTATTCCCTCAGCTCAACCCAGATGATGCCCGCAACCCCAAAGATATCCCAGCTGCTAGCTTGCCTTGACATGAAGGCAAGCTTCAGGTCTTCAATTCTGCTGCTGCAACGTTTTATGCTCCCAGTGATCTGAGTGGCATTGGTGGCATGCGACACGAACATATCCATGCATGTCCACTCTAGTGAAACAAGTACCCGCGCAATGATTGCATGTTCATTAACACTGATTCAGATGCTGAAGGGATGCGAGGACTCAAAGTTGCGAGAGTCATATGCTTCTTTTCATTCAAGCACAACTGGGAAGTATATCCTTGCACTCTCATACAGTGGTTTGAGAAGATTGGTGACTGCCCTGATGAAGATACTGGCATGTGGATGGTCGCTCCAAGTTTTCATGAGGACGGCTCAAGGAACCTTGCTGTCATTCACATTGAGATGGTCTTCCATGCAGCACACTTGATAGCTATCTATGGTTCAGAGTACATTCCTCACTCCCTCAAGTTGTATCATTCTCTTGACACTTTCAGCTCATTTTATGTCAACAAATACGCTGACCACCACGCATTTGAGATAGCATCCTGACTGGATTACATAGGTGGGTTCTCAATCCAATTCTCAGTCCATTGCTAATGGTCAGGTCCTAGGACATCGCATGAAGAACACCCAGTCGAAACTTGCGCAGACACTGACGCAGTACCCCCGGTCCTGTTTCTGGAGAACTTCATATCCTTCCTATTCCCTTGTTCGCACAACCTGTTACATCAACTGTCCAGGCCAGCTCCTCTGAGAAGGAAAATTCAGGCAATGTCAAGGAGCTTCCAGTCCTGTTTCTGGAGAACTTCATATCCTTCCTAGTCCCTTGTTCATGCAACCCATTACATCAACTGTCCAGGCCAGCTCCTCTGAGAAGGAAAATTCAGGCAATGTCAATGTTCACACAACCCGTTACATCAACCCCATTGCATGAGTAAGTTCCCTTCTATCCTAGTTTATACAGCTGGATTGATGAGTTATAGACCTGCTGGATTTGATGGTGATGATGTGCTTACAGTTGTGAAGCAATATTGGAAAGACTCATATGGGAATATCAGGCAAGGACCTCGCCCTTGTCCTAATTTTGACCAATAACGACCAGATTCTATAGATATCCTTACAATTCATCCACAGAAAGTAATACTGTCGAGCTCATTCATGACACATTCCAAAGTCTCAGTGATTGGGATGGCTTTATGGTCGATGGATACGATGGCGTCGCAATGGACACTCACATCTACCAGATGTTTTCAGATGAGGTATGCATCCTTTCTTCTGACACAACAATGTATTAACGACGTGAATAGCAAGTTGCCTACAACTATTCCCAACACATCAAGGAGGCATGCAGTCATGGGTCTAGCCTCTCGCCATCACAAAGCTGAGTCTCACCATCACCACCATGAAGCTGGATCTTTCCTCAGGTGTGTCCACCATGCCATCATGGCCCTTGGCTTATGGGAAGGTCATGCTGTTGCGTTCATTCTCAGTGAGTGCTTACCTTGTACTGCTAAAATTTCTCTGATCTTCCTATTCCCTTGTTTGTGCAACCTGTTACATCAACCGTCCAGGCCAGCTCCTCTGAGAAGGAAAATTCAGGCAATATCAAGGAGCTTCTTCCTGATGGGTCTGTCTTGTGGGTCTATCACCATCATGAAGCTGAGTCTCACCATCACCACCATGAAGCTGGATCTTTCCTCAGGCGTGTCCACTGTGCCATCATGGCCCTTGGCTTATGGGAAGGTCGTGCTGTTGCATTCATTCTCAGTGAGTGCTTAACTTGTACTGCTAAAACTTCTCTGATCTTCCTTCTAATTGACCTTCCTTCCCAAAGTGCATTGAGCTGAAGCACTTAGAGCACAAGCGCCAAAGGTTATTGCAATGGAAAATGTTCAAGGATCAAATGTGCGCACTCGAACAACAGCAGGCGCAGGAGTTGCTTAGCATTCATTATGACCCCACTGCCTCAGCTCATCTCGCAGTCTTGGCACCCAGAGACCCTTTCTAAGGCTGTCAGTTCTTGAGGACGAAGTCCAGGTGGCTTATGTGTCAGCAATGCACAGTGTCGTTCAAGGAGGTTGTGTCCTCTATGGACTGTAAGTTGTTCACCCTCAACACAGCCGAATGTGCTCTTGTGTTTTACTCTAAACTACTAACATCAACCAAAACGCTAGTTTACAGGTCCATCCCGCAGCTCCCAGATGCTGAATCGCCAAGATGATAATATCAACTTCAAGATTGGTAAGTTTGCAGCTTGTCTGCTGTAATATTTCTGCTCACCTTAACCTGCAGTCATGCTGCACTTGCATTCAGTTTCAACCCTTGTGCCCCAAGACCCTCTTCAGTCTCTCCCACAACCCCAGTGGGACCTCTGAGTCCACCTGCCATCCCACATCCTCATTTGCCTCTGTGAGTGCACAAGCGGCAGCCTCTGTCCACCAGCATTTTTGCTCCTGCCCACAATGCATGTTGGAGTCCATCGATCTTGGTTTATCTGTTGTTCCAGCGTCATCAATGAACAAACAATGAGCTAAAGCCTGAGGACGTACCAGATCGCGCTCGAGATCTTTGTTCAGATGAGTATAGAGTTCAAATCATGAGTAGTAGTAGTAGATCAATAATGATGTATTGCAACTTGCAGTGCTTGTTTCGGCATTGGTAATTGATCTTGCCTTGCACTGCTTTTTGGCACTGAAATTCCACGTGCTTCCTTACTTGACTTGTCAAACTCAAAGCAAAGTGAATAATTATAGATAAGTTAAAAATAAGTTTTAATTTTCAAAATAAGCTGCACTAAGGAATGTGTGAATTTACTGATGTGTGGCAAGCACAGACACATGGCAAACACTCAGTACAAGGTCAGACTTTTTTTCATGTTTTTACTGTGTGTCACAGTTTAGGTTTGACAGCCTCAAAATTGATGTGACTGTCACACAAATTAGGTTCGATTCACCAGGCTTGTGATGCTGTGATGAACCTAAGTGTGTATCTATACAGTACTGTAGAGATATGCACCTAAGTTCATCACACTGTCACATGCCTAGCGAATCGAACCTATTTTGTGTGACAGTCACACCAATTTTGAGACTGTCAAACCTAAATTGTGACATGCAGTAAAAACATAAAAAAATAACTAATACAACCAAAAGTCCTTGTACTGAGTGTTTGTGACACATCTGCACTTACCATGGCCCTCAGCCTCAACCTCCTCAGAAACTGCTTCTTGGACCTACACCAAGTGGCACCCCAAGTAGGACCCTAAAAACAAAATTTTCAACATCACACTCAACAGCGTAAACGATGCACACAGGCATCTAAGTATCTCTCTGAAATCCCTATCAAAATCAAAAACATAAACATAGATATCAAAAACAGACCAATATGCCTGCAACAAAGGGAGTGAAGATCGGGCTCACCAGCTTGAACAACATCTCCCCCTCTGCAGGCCCAGCTACCCAACAATCAATGAAAACCCTGTTAACACAGAATGAAATTGAAGCAATGTCTAATCAAGTGAACAACTGTACATCAGCAGAAAAATACCTCAATAAAAATCTCCTTAGCCTCCCTGATGAAACCTTTACCCTAACTCACATAATATCCATTCTATTTCAGATAACGCAAATGCAAGATACTACCCCTCTCCCTGTCACTACTGCCATATGTGTGGCTGCATATATCCTCAAAAAGCATGCAGCCTGCAAAATGGCAACAGAGGTAGCAAGACAAATCTCGGACACCCTCACCCCACACATCATAGAACACATTGTGGGAGTGTCATATCTGCATATCTGGATCTCAGATCCGACCCTTATCTCATCTCAGATCCACATCTTATCTCCAATCCTATCCACATCTTACAGTGGCTCAAAAAACTGTCCACATGTTTTGACATTTTTCACTATCTATGATATTGTGTGAGAACAAACAAATGCCTCAAGGACATGCTTATACCACATTGTAGTATGGCTTTAGGGCTTTCATTTGAGCGCTACACCGTGGGAATCGGTGGAGATATGGTGGAGACATAAGGCTTACAAAATCATGACTCATGCGGACAGTTTTTTGAGCACATATTAAAACTATATAAATCATCATTTATGACACCATAACAATCATGCCACCATTAAATAAATTATAAAGTGGTGTCATTATGTCATTTTAAAACCATATCTAACTATATAAACCAGAATATCTCATGTATCATAGTCATAATCACCATGAAAGCCACCCCCCCTGCTCAAAGGGATAATATCCTCTCTCTTTCCTATTCTGGCCTCTCTGCTTGTCAAATTTCCTTTAGAACTGGAGTATCCAAGTCCACTGTGGCCAAGTTCATCAAAGAAAGTCACACAGACAAGGAAAACTTCTGTGAAGGGTGTCCATCCAAGCTCACCTCTACTGATAGGAGGGCTATTATTCAACATATCACTACAGGAAAGGCTGATAATGCTGTCCAGGTCACCTATTACATCAATTCCACCATCACATTCCCTGTCTCTTCACACACTGTGAGAAACATTCTCAAGACAGCTCATCTCAGGTCAGTAACAAGGAAGAAAAGGCTCTCCTCTTTATCACACATATGCAGAGAGGACTAGCACCCTTCTTGTTTCACATATATACCTTGCCATCTGACCCAATCCTATTTATTGTGGTCTTATATGATCATATAACATGCTTCCAGTCCATGTAATCCAATTCTGATGGGCTAAGGCAAAGGTTAGTCATCTCTGTTTATGTGTGATAGAGAGGAGAGCCTTTTCTTCCTTGTTACTGACCTGAGATGAGCTGTCTTGAGAATGTTTCTCACAGTGTGTGAAGAGACAGGGAATGTGATGGTGGAATTGATGTAATAGGTGACCTGGACAGCATTATCAGCCTTTCCTGTAGTGATATGTTGAATAATAGCCCTCCTATCAGTAGAGGTGAGCTTGGATGGACACCCTTCACAGAAGTTTTCCTTGTCTGTGTGACTTTCTTTGATGAACTTGGCCACAGTGGACTTGGATACTCCAGTTCTAGAGGAAATTTGACAAGCAGAGAGGCCAGAATAGGAAAGAGAGAGGATATTATCCCTTTGAGCAGGGGGGGTGGCTTTCATGGTGATTATGACTATGATACATGAGATATTCTGGTTTATATAGTTAGATATAGTCATAAAATAACATACTGACACCACTTCATAATTTATATAATAGTGGCATGATTTTTGTGGTGTCATAAATAATGATTTATATAGTTTTAATATACACTCAAAAAACTGTCCACATGAGTCATCATTTTTTCAGCCTTATATCTCCACCATATCTCCACCGATTCCCACGGTGTAGCGCTCAAATGAAAGCCCTGAAGCCATACTAAAATGTGGTATAAGCATGTCCTTGAGGCATTTGTTCATTCTCACACAATATCATAGATAGTGAAAAATGTCAAAACATGCAGACAGTTTTTTGAGCCACTGTATCTCCCTCCAACATCTCATCATTCAATCTGTCCACTCATCCAGTCCAGTCCACAACTCATCCAAATCCACAACCAGCACTCGTCTCCTTTCGGTAACCCCCTAACTCTGGTATTTCGGTTATCTGTATATCCATCCTGCTCCCTGATCTGCTACCTATGTTTCATTTCCATTTCATGATTCATGATCTGTTTCTACTTATCAATAGACTATCTACATGCTTTGTACATAGCCTCAGACTCTGCTGATTGATCATTCCGTTAGATACCTATATTATATAACCTCCTGTAACTTTCTGTAGTACCTCAGTTTGAATATCATCTTAGTTCTACTCATTCCCATCCTCCAGACTTGAGTATCTCCACTCTTGTCACCCTCCGAGACTTAAGATTGATTCCTATAGTCTATCCATATCCGCCTCTGTCTCCGACAGTCTATTACTGTTAGTTTCTAGTCTGGACTTGTCTGGATTAGCCCTATGATACCTATCCTGCATCCGGAAGTCATCTGGATCTGTTATGATACTCATCCAACCTTCTGGACACGTTAGTCTTGCCTTCCTGAAATAAGGGGCAATACTCAGGTAAGGGGCACAGTGCACAAGCTGAGGCCGAAGCCCTTTGGATCCAGTTATCCCTTGAGTATGACCTTAACAGGGAGCTATAGCACCACAGATGGCAAAGTTACTAACCACCTCTGACCTACTCTCAAATACCTTAGATTGAACAGAGGCAGTCTGCAAAGCCATAGCAAATGACAGAGATGAAATGGACGATGGTTTACAGATCTCAGTATCACATATTGAAACAGTAGCTGATGAACTTCATGCAACAGTAGAAGAATGCCAGAACACCCTGAAACTCCTCTCCTCATCACTTGACACCACCCAAGAATGCCTCAACACTCTATCAACCCAGCTCCTGACCCAACACACACCTACCCAACATGACAACAACAACAACAACAACAACAACATGGAAACTGGCACTACCACTCAAAACCAACATCAAACATACAGTTCTGTCACAGCTGCCAACTTGACTCCTTCTATCAATAAAGCCATCAGGAGAGCAGCCATCTGCATGTGGGAAATCCTACTCAACCCCATGCCAGGTAACAACCTCTTCCCACCAGATACTCCACATGCTGACATGGTCAAGAAAATGAAGGCAGCCCTTGCCAACATCCACAAGCCAGACACCCCAGTTTGGGACATCAGATCCATCACTGCACTACACAATGGAAGCTTCATAATCAAACTCAAGACCAAATCCCTAGCATCCTGGCTCCATGAAATGACAAGTAAAGAAGCCTTAACCAAACACTTTGGAAACACAGTATCATTTCACACTCATACTTACCCTATTGTTGCTGAATACCTCCCCATCCAGCTCCAAATTCAAGATGATACCTTCCTCCATTCAGTCGAGCAAGACAACAATCTCCTGATCAACTCAATTGTGACTACTTGCTGGATCAAACCCCCCCAGCGCAGATCTGCAACCCAACGCAAGGCTTTCGCACTGATTCACATTGCAGACCCCCATACAGCAAACCTCATCCTCAAAGAAGGCATTTACATCCAAAATGAACGCATTGCAGTCTGCAAGGACAAATGCTAGTCCATCCAGTGTGCTAAATGTCAGAGGTACAGACATATAGTGTGAAACTGTTCTGCAACACTCGATGTATGCGGCACCTGCAGCAACCAACACTGCACCATGGAATACACCTCCTACAATACTGTATGTATCAACTGCCAAAGTCACCACCACACCACTTGGAACCGCACCTACCCTGACTTTGTTTGACAATGTAAACTCATCAATGAAAAATTCCTGGAGAATACCATGCCTTACTACCCGACGGAAATGTCCTGGACCCATGTCAATCAGCCTCCTCACTCAACCCCGACCACATACCCAGCACCCTGCAGAGCTCAATCTCCCAGGCAAAAGGGATCCAAGCAATCAACCATCACCTTCCAACCATGCAACAGATCCCACCCATGCACCCCTCAAATCCTGCAATCTCCTATCCTCACTGACCTCATGGGCTGTCTAGGCTCTGCCCCAATTCCAAGCTTCTCTGACTCCACCAACCCTACTAACCCCACTAACTCATCTTCTCCCCCCACAGCCAGCACCTCCCAGCCTGTGTCCCATGTCTGAACACCAAAACAAACCCACCACCCATCTATGCATTTGGCAGCAAAACCTCAGCACTTCTATGGTTGCTCAGGCCTCCCTTCTCAACAGTCCCAGCATCTCCAAATGGGACATTATCCTCATCCAAGAACCACACATCAACTTCCTCAGAAACACTTCCACCAACCACCATTGGCATGTAATATACCTGACCCAACACTTCACTCATCCACAACAATGAACTCATGCCATCATGCTAATCAGCTCATCTCTGGACACTAACTTATGGAAACAGATTCCTTTCCCCTCCTCAGACATCACCCTCCTTCAGCTATCTGGTCCATATGGCAAATGCACTATCTTCAATATTTACAACAACTGTCACTCTCAATCAATGCTTGAAATGCTCAACATATTCATTGAAAGCAACATTATGACACTATGCCCAATGATCAATGACCATGTGCTATGGATGAGGGACTTCAACTGTCACCATCCACTATGGGAAGAAATGTGCAACTGTCATTTATTCAATTATACTGCTGCTAACCCTCTCATTGATTTGATTGGTAACTGTGGTATGATACAGCTACTACCCGCCAACATCCCAACACTCCAATCCACCAGCACCGGTAACTGGACAAGACCAGATAATGTCTTTGGCACAGAACAACTCCTCGATGCTGTCATGACCTGCATCACAGCACCAGAACTCAGAGGCCCAAAGACCAACCATGTACCTATACACCTTGTCCTTGAACTGGAAACACCATGCGCTGACACCATACCACAGAGAAACTGGAGAGAAGTTGAATGGGAACAATTTGATAAGCACCTCCAAAACCTACTCTCTCCCCACCCTCCCCAGCCATTAGCTACTGACAAGGAATTCCAGACAGCCATTTGCTGACTAACAGATGCCATCACTGCCACCATCAATGCCCACGTCCCAATAGTGAAACCATGCCCTCACTCTAAATGGTGGTGGACACGGGAACTTTCTGTTATGTGCAAGAACATCAACCATCTCAGTCATCTATCCTACCAGATGCGCACCCTGCCTCTACATGAATCCCATGAAGAACTAAAGGCCCTCAAGAACGAATATGTGGAATCCATCACCTCAATGAAGCAGCAACATTGGACTGAATGGCTCAAGGACTTAGAAGGTAACAACATTTGGATGGCCAATCACTACATAATGTCTAAACCCAGGGATGGCAGTAAGACATGAGTCCCAACACTGATCATCAAACACCCAGATGGTTCATCTATGGAGGCATCTACTAATCATGAGAAGAGCACATTAATCGCTGAAGCATTCTTCCCTCCTCCTCCTCTTACTAACCATGTACCACCAGATTATGAATACCCAGACCCAGTCTCCTCGCACACCCCTTTCACAGCAGACCAACTTTCCCAAGCCATCACCAACCTCAGTGGGTACAAGGCCCCAGGCCCAGATGGAATTTGCAACATCATATTCAAGTGCTGTGTGTCTACATTAACCCTACACCTCATCTACATATTCAATGTGGTCTTCTCCCACAAGACATACTATGAACCATGGTGACACTTCACTACTGTGGTCCTTTGAAAGCCTGGAAAGCCGTCCTATGAGTCCCCAAGGCCTACAGGCCCATTGTGCTACTCAACACTACATGCAAACTCCTCACAGCAGTCATGGCAGAACAACTAACATACACCCTAGAACACCACAGCCTCCTACCAAACACGCACTTCAGTAGCAGGCCAGGTCGCTCCACCACTGACTCTCTCCACCTTCTAGAAGCCACCATCAAAGACACTTGGTGCTCTCACCATGTAGCATCCATTCTCTTTCTCAACATAGAAGGGGCATTCCCCAATGCAGTCACAAGCCACCTCCTTCACAACATGCAAAAGTGTTGCATTCCTTGTGAAATGGTAGAGTTCACAGAATGAGTACTAATGGACAGATTCACTCAACTACACTTCGACGGATACACTTTGGATTAGATACCAATCACCAATGGTATAGGACAGGGTGACCCCCTGTCCATGATTCTTTATATTATCTATAACTTGGATCTAGTGGAAGTTGCTAACAAATGAAAAGGAAGAGAAACTCTGAAGAAGTTGACTCTAGCATTCGTTGATGATGCAGTGTTTATTGCCATAGTGGATGACTTCAAAACTGCGCATGAAATGCTCACTGACATGTTGGAATGCCCTGAAGGTGGCTTTGAATGGTCATGCAATCATAACTCATGCTTCAAAACTAACAAATTTGCATTGATAGATTTTTCCATGAACAAACAAAGATTGTGCCCCAACATGATCATCCAAGGGTTAACAATCCAACCCACCACATCCCATCGCTTCCTTGGAGTCATCGTGGATCAAGAACTTCATTGGTCTGCTCAAGTTGACAACACAGTAGCAAAGGGAACAGCGTACATATGCCAGATTCACCATCTATCCACCATGGCCAAAGGAATCCCACTACCTCTCATGTGTCAACTATACCAAGCCATTGCCATACCAAAAATGCTGTGTGTGGCCAACTTATGGTTTTCACCGGTGTTCAAGGAAGGATCTGATGTCCTCCAATGAGGCTCCCTGGGAGTCACCAAAAGACTCACAGCAGTGCAAAGACTCGCCACATTGGCCATGACCAGCACCATGCACACTACTGCAGGAGACGTCCTCAAACCCCACACCAACATACTACCCATCCCCCTTGCTCTTCATAACATCTGTTACAGGGCCATTATCCGCATCACTGCTCACCCTGAATTGCACCCCTTATACCACCCAGTTCAACGTGCTGCAAAGTGCTATGTATCATCTTGTTAAGAACCATGTTGCTCAAGGGAGGGAGAGACTGACTCAGAGGGGCTTGGCCTCAGCTCATACACTGTGCCCCTTACCCAAGTATGGGCCCTTCATTTCAGATGAGGTCTGATGATGGTCTGATGAAGTCTGGAGGACTTCCAGAGGCTGGCTACTCTGGTGGAGAGTGCTAGAGGACTTCCAGAGGAGTGCAGGAGAGTTCCCACTGCAAGGTAATACTTCTACAGGAAACAGGATGGAAGGATGGGAGGTCTGAAGGTCTGGAGGACAGGAGGGCAGGATGACAGAGGACAGAAGGACAGGATGTCTGGAGGTATGAAGGACAGGAGGATAGAACATCTGAGGGTTAGGAGAACAGAATGTCCAAAGGACAGGACATCCAGAGGTCTGGAAGGAATAGGGGCTACATCGGACAAAGTCCAATGTAGAAACAAACAGAGGTAGACTACCCTAAGGTAGAGTTGGAGGGACAGGGATTGGACCTAAGTCCGGAAAGAGGGTAAGTGCTGGAAAGGCAGAGCTCCAGCCTAGGGAATCAATCCCTAGGCCTGATGGATAGGACAGACTTAGTTGGACCAAAGTCCAAGAGAGGATTGGGTAGGTAGAGCAAAGTCTAAGATGATATTCAGACTAAAGAAACTACAGGAGTATCTACAGGGGTTATATACTGGACAATATCTGAGGTGATCAGTAAGCAAAGGAGCAAGGCTATGTACAAGCATGTGGAAACACATTAGTAAGTAAGACGGAACATAAGTAAATGAATTCAGAGATGAAGACTCATACAAGGATCAATAAGCAAGACAGAACAAGAGGTAACCAAAAGCCAGAAAGGCAGAGATGCCTAAATGGGGATAGGCGCAGGATATCAGACAGAGGGTGGGAATAGGTCCGGAGTTAATATCCAGAGGTCTGGAGATCTGGGGATCTGGAAGACAAGGTGGATACAGGACTGGGATATGAGGAGGTGGATATAGTCCAGAATCTGAGATGAGGTGAAGTCCAGATGTCTTGCTGGATGGAGTGTGCATAGGGTGGATGGGACAGATGGGTATGGATCAGGCTAGCAGTGGAGATCTGATGGTCCAGAGCTCAGGGGTAAATCCGGAGCATAGTCAATCCTGCTGAGGTGTGGAGCACACAGTGGAAGGGGATCTGGGAATGAGTTGGATATGAAGTGGGGTCCGGACGTAGGCTTGGAAGGCGTGGGAATATGATGAAATGTGGGTCTGGATTGTGGGATATGACACATCTCATCATTCTTCATTGCCAACATGCAATGCAAAAACCGACAGGATAGATACAGCCTCAGTGAGAGGATGGGGAGCAGTCCAGTCAATGATCTGAGTGATGTCTGCGAGATGTACCTACCCTAAGGATTGGCATGCAGTTGCAATGACCAACATATAATGCAAAAGAACAATATTAATAGTGGACAGATAGTACAGCCAGAAGTAGATTCGATGTATGTTGAAAGTTAGGAAATTAAACAAGCTGTTTGTTATTGATTAATGATTTGTTGTTTGTTTGTTTGTCTGGTTGTTTGTCTGGTTGTTTGTTTGCAAGAAATTGCCACAGTGCAGTCATTCTGGCAAGTACCAAGTTGGACTTGGAGTTTTGAGTCAGTGAAAAGCAACTTA